CTTACCTATCGGACGCCAAACAATGACATGCGCTATCATTTCATTGAACCGCATTTTCACTGCCGCTACATTGTGTGTGTGTGTGTGTGTGCTTGTACAGCTTGTAGCTTAATTGGCCAAAACGAAATCGAAACTGTTGGCTGGAACCAGTTTGGCATTTGACATTTGATTTGTGTGCGGCAGCTGCGCACGCGTCCCACCCGGCGTATGCGTTATGGCTAATTGTGATAGGCGAACATATCACGCATACGCAGTGCGTTAAGTAGCCGTTACAATTTGAATGTTTGCATCTGTTGATGGCGTTAAAGTCGCCGCTGCCGCTTGTTGCCTTGAAAGCGAATGTCTCCGCACCAGCACATTTGCCTCTCCCTCACACACACACACACGCCTGCCTTCTCTATCCTCTCTCTCTCTCTCTCTTTTTTTCTCTTTCTTTAGCGCAATTTGTGTGGTTTCTTTGGCGCACACATTCGCATAAATTTTCCGCTGTGCCGGTAATCGTCATTATAAAAGCCTCGCCACGCCAGCTCGGCGCAAACAATTCAAATCCAGTAACTGACGCACATTCATACTATTCAGTCGTTCGACCTGTAAAGACGTGAATTCGAACAGCCTTCGCTTAAGCTCTACTGCTGCAGAGTTCTAAAAATAGAACTTTGCGGTGCATTCTTCAACGCAACAGCAACAAAAACCGCACACGCAGCGTTTTCTTATCGCTTGCTTCCGCGTAACTCAATTGCTTTAATTGCAATTTACGAAATTTCGTCGCTTGGCGCGAGTGCGCCTGCACTCAAAAGCACAATCCGCGATGACATCTAATGTCAATAACCTCGCTACAGCTGTAAAGGTAAATGCAGAAATGCAAGCCCAGCTTAACGTTGTGATGGCAAATAGGCAAGCCTCCATCATGCCAATAAACTCAAAAATAGATATCGCCTCCGTGCAAGGCATCACTAACAACAAAAACACGAAACGTAAACAGCCAAATTCACCAAAAACCATCAAGAAAAGGCTCATCTTCGACGAACCAAGCACCAGCAATGCAGCATTAATATCAGAAAATCGATTTTCACTGCTCGTAGAAGAAGATGAAGACTACAGCGAATCACCTGTAGCTCCAGAAGCCCCAGTATTGACCGACCAGCAAACTACTCCGAAACCTCGTCCGCCCCCCATATGGTGTCCAAACATCAAGTCTGTGGCCCTACTTCAACAGATAATAGATAAAGTAATTGATGCTAAATCATACGTAATTAAGCCAAAGAAGAATAACATAGGTGTATTAACCCAATGCAGTGAGGACTATCGCAGAGTTATAGACCACTTTACTAAGCTGGAATTGGAGTTCCACTGCTACCAGCTTAAGGAGGACAAACCATATAGAGTCGTGTTCAAAGGGCTTCACTCCAGCACTGATACAACACTAATTAAAAAGGAATTGGAAACCAAAGGCCACACAATTACAAATGTGCACAACCCACTGAGCCGTATGGACAAAACACCGCTAAATATATTTTTTGTTGACGTGGCTCAGGCCCCCAACAACAAAGAAATTTTGGACATTCGAGTTGTCTGCAGGCAACGCTGCACAGTGGAACTGCCAAGAAGATACAACGACCTGACACAATGCCATCGCTGTCAAGAATTTGGACACACACAACGCTACTGCCACAAAGCTCCCAGATGTGTGCGTTGCGCCGGGAAACACGCATCCAAAGACTGCACCCGCGAAAAGGACCAGGCACCAACTTGTGTGCACTGTGAGTTACAGCACCCAGCCAACTATAAGGGCTGCCAAGTATACAAGCGGTTGCGCAAATTGCAATCCCCAGCACAAAAAAGGAGTCCCACACAAACACCGTCTACGGGTCCGAGTACTGCTTCCGAAATTACAAGGCCCCGGAGCATTACCCAAGCCACGAGCTTTGCAACGCCTATTAGTGGTGTTTCTTACGCACAGGCCGCTAGAGGTGGACCGTCAAATAAGAATACCACAAGTGACACTTTGTTCACTGAAATGCTTCAGCAACAACAACGTCAGTTTGACGCAATTAATGCCGAGCTCAAAGCGATGCGAGAAGTACAATCCCAACAAGCAACCATGCTAAACAGTTTAATGGCCATCATAACCAAGCTTGCCTACAAATAATGGCTTTACGTGTGGGTATCTGGAACGCCAATGGCCTGAGAAACAAGACTCAGGAACTGGCTGCGTTTCTCTCACAAGAAAACATAGATATAATGTTAATAACAGAAACTCATGAGTGCCCCACTACACAAATTTTCGGATACGAACACTATCAGGCTCATGGTGAAGGAGCAAACTGCTTTGGTGGATCCTCAATCCTCATACGAGCAACAATACCGCATACACCTTTACTGCCAATTTGCAACGCAACAATGCAGGTCTCAGCCATCACCCTGCCTACGTCTATTGGAGCGATCGAAGTTGCGTCAATTTATCTTCCGCCAAACACTGGTCTGTGTGATCATCACATGGAACAGGTTCTAGGCCAAAGGTTGAATAAGACCCTCATCGGCGGCGACTGGAATGGATGGCACCCATTTTGGGGAAGCAATAGTGCGAATCGTCGCGGAGAAGTCATATTTGAGGCGATTCAAAACTTACAATTCAGCATATTGGCGACTGGAGCCCCCACCCGTTACCCAATTAATGGACACAGGCCCTCGGCAATCGACTTCGCTGTCTACAAAGGCATCTGTGACCGGCAATTGACCATTGAAGAATCCTTGGACCTATCCTCTGACCACCTGCCACTAATAGTCACAATCCACGCGCAGCCACAGCCCTTGCCCATTAGGAAACAACTACTGCCAGCAGGATCAGATTTAGGAGTCTTTAGGCGCGAGCTCCATTACTCTTTGCACATAGAAATGGAACTTAACACTCCTGAAGACGTGGACTACGCAGCAAACAAACTGCAGGAAGAAATAGTCAAAGCTGCGCACCAAGCCGCCCCACCATCTTGCCAAACAAGACAACAGTCTCCGTACAACATCCCCCTCACCTTGGAGGCCCAACACCTACTAATACACAAAAGATGGGCCAGGAGACGCTGGTTAAGATTACGCACGCCTGATGCCAAATCCATGTACAACGAAGCCACGAGGCATCTTAAAGCTGCTCTCGCCCTGCTTCAAAAGAGGTGTATCAGCGATGCGCTGGTACGAGCTGAATCGCCCACTGACGCAGAGTTTCAATTATGGAAATTTACAAGAAAGCTCAAACGGCAGCCAATACGACGTCATCCCATTCGGAGCATTTCTGGTTCCTGGCACATTGGAGACGAAGCTCAAGCTGAGGCTTTTGCAAACCACCTTCAAGACCAATTCACGCCGGTGATTACCGCAGAGGCCTCAGAAATCGAAGCAACAGAAGACATCGTTCTCTCGCCCCTCCCAGCTGAAGACCAGATAACTGGATGTACAAAAGAAGAGGTTCTTGAACACATCAGAAGAGTGAAGGCAAAAAAATCCCCTGGATATGATCTAATAAACGGCAGAGTCCTTAGAGCACTGCCTGACTCCACCATAGACTACATAACTATGGTGTACAACGCCATGCTCCGCATCCGGCACTTTCCAGCCTGCTGGAAGCGCGCCGTGATTGTGATGATTCCTAAGCCTGGCAAACCCGTGGGAGAAATTGAGTCGTACAGACCAATTAGCCTGTTGCCAGTACTCTCCAAAATATTCGAAAGAATATTTCTGGAACGAGTACTGACACATCTGGGACGCCAGGAGGCCATTCCAAACCATCAGTTTGGCTTCAGGAGACAGCATGGAACACCGGAACAGGTTCACAGAGTTGTGCACCATATCCTTGGAGCCTTTGAAGAAAAGATGTACTGCTCTGCCGTCTTTTTAGACATCAAACAGGCGTTTGATCGAGTTTGGCACCTGGGACTGCTGCAGAAAGTGAGGACCACCCTTCCAGCCCCATTTTTCGCGTTGCTATCCTCATACCTTATTGGAAGAACCTTCCAAGTGTCAAGGGGGCAAACAGTATCCTTGACTAGACCAATTATGGCTGGAGTACCACAGGGTAGTGTTCTAGGCCCAACACTTTATACTTTATTCACAGGAGATATGCCAACTCCCGAGCCAAATATAGGAAGTACAGATGCAGTACTCATAGCGACCTATGCAGATGACACCGCCATCTTATCACGTCACGTATCTGCGCAAGAAGCTTCAGACTCACTACAAAAATATCTGGACTCTTTCGGACGCTGGGCAAAACGGTGGTGTATCACCATTAATGCACAAAAGTCTGTACATACTACCTTCGCCACTAGAAGAGGAGATTGCCCAAGCGTTGCATTGGGGCCCACTATTCCCAAAGCCTCAAAAGTAAAGTACCTTGGTATCACTCTTGACAGAAGGCTGACTTTTAAAGCGCACATAAGTCAAGTAACCTCAAAATGCAAAAGCAAGCTAAAAACCCTCGACTGGATGCTGAGAGCTTCAAGCAAGTTGTCTTACAGCAGCAAGGCCGCCATCTACAAGGCAATAGTTGTCCCAACCTTCGTATATGGTATCTCTCTATGGGGCTCCTCGGCGAAGACTACAAGGAACAAAATTCAGACCCTGCAGAATAAAGCACTACGCAGATGGACTGGAGCCAGCTGGTTTGTAAGAAACTCAGTCTTACATAGGGATTTAGCAATTCCCACAGTTGCTGAACTCATTGGGCGACACAGTTCAAGATACGCGGACAGACTTGCAGCGCATCCTAACCATCTCGCAAGCAACCTGGCTATAAACAACAATAGGCGAAGACTGAAGAGATTGCATCCTCTAGACAATATTAGAACTAATTAAGATAGTAGCTACAAGTGCAGAATAATTGGCATATCTGCCCTCCCATTAGTTAAGGTTTAGAGCTAAATGCGCTATAGAGTCTAAGACAATAAGCTGCAACAAAATAAAGAAATAAAAACGAAAAAAAAAGTAACTGACGCGAAATGATGTTCGCTATGGCAACGCGTTGTCGGTCCACCAAGAGCCTGCACCTGTGCCTCTGCCTGGCCGCGTTCATGCTGATTGTAAGTAGTGCGATTGTTGGCTACAAACGACAGCCTTACACCCAAGGACGTTCACACAATTCTCTAGTGTCATTTTTTTCATGTGTTTGTGCCACAAGTTGCAAGTGATTTCTATTTAATGAAATGGAAAATGTGAAAAATATAATATGAAAGTAAACAAAAGAAGAATTTTAAAAAGAAATTAAAATAATGTAAATAAATAATTAAGCGCATCCGGAAATTATCGCTAAGCCGATGAAACGTTGTGGCCCTAACTTAAAAATTCTAATAAAATATATTACTTCTCCTTACCTATATAAGATTTATGTATAGTTCGAGTAGATATCTATCTATGATAAATATATATCAAAGCTAACTAAAGCAAGAGCTAAAAATGTAGATATAAATATATATTATAATATAATAATAATATATATAATATATATAAAAATAAAATAATATATATAAAAATATATAGAATTAAAGTACTTCAAGTACTAGTGGCCTACAATTTAGTATAGTTAGTATAGCAAAGATGGAAGTTGAGGAACTTTTCCACTGTTTCGGCTTTGGAAATCATAGAGTAGTCAATTGAATGTGCCCTTAGAGCGCTATGTAAGGTATTATCTCAATCTCAGCATAGGAAATATTTAATATTGAACAAGACTTTAGCGTGATATTTGCCCCAAAAGTTATCGATTTATTTTCATATATAATTTTTTTTAATTTTTTATATCCTGGAACATGGAACACTCTGAATTTCGACACTTTTTTATACTCAATACATTATATTTCCTATGGACAAAAGAGAATACCTAAGTCAGAGAAGACAACAAAAACTTTATTTAATTTACAGTTAATTTGTATTTAATTTATAAACTATAAAAGTCCTCTCCCAGCTGAAAATATGCATGAATACTCTTTTGGCGCAGCAGAAAACTAGTTTAATTATCAGTTAGAGTCAGCTAACTCAGTCCACATCTGGCATTAAATATCTATTAGGAGACGCCATTAATTGCCACCAGGCACTAAGCAGCCAGCAATTGGAAAACAACTTCAATCACAGCAAAATTGCGTGCCGAAAACATTTCATGTTGGGGCGTAAAAGAGCTCCAGCGCCAAACTCGACTGCGGCTGCTGCTGCAACATCCAACGGCCTGGGCCAATGAACTTGCAGCGGACGCAGCTCGAGCGCCACGCCAATCATAAGACTGTGGAGGCGGAGAACAGAGGCAGAGGCAGAGGCAGAGGCAGCGTCATGATCCGTTCCCAATGTTAAAAACGGTTCCCCCCCTGCAAAAAGCGAAAGCGAATTGGTTAACTTTAATTAGTTTAATTACAAAATATATAAAGATATATGTTTATATATATATATATATATATATATATATATATATATCTATATTTATATATCTAATACATATATATATATATATAAATATATATATATATAGATTGTTGTGCGTCCAACTATCCATTAACAAAGCAAATGGCCAACTGAATGTACACTTTGCATTCACATGCCCGCCAATTGACGCTGAACGACATCGAGTACCAAAACAAATATTATTTAATTGCTGCTCCCATTTTCGCGCTCTCTCTCTATCTCTTTCTCTATCTCTCTCTCTCTCTCTCTCTCTCTCTATTGTTAACTCTCTCCTACTTGCACTTGCAGTTGAGCTTGCAGTTGAGCGTGTGTGGGGCACAGTCGCTGCCTCGCATGAGCCGCCGACCCATTCCGAAGACAAATGTGGAAGAGTCGAGCGAGCGAAGTGTTGTGCCCGACCAACTGGCCCAGGCCGCAGGTCGTGCTGATGGGCATGGACGCAACTATCCGAGACGTGGCGCTCCGATGCAAACAAGGGCCAAGGAGCCAAGCACAGGTGAATAAAAATTAAACTAGCTTCATCCTTAGCTTAGGTACAGTACTTAATACTTTCTGAAAAAAAAATCAATTAAGCTTCTGAGTTTGTACCCAGCTGTAACTGTAAAGCGGCCGATCAACTCTCTTTAGTTAACGAATTTTGGCAGCTGCCACAATTAAAAGCAATTACTAATCTCCAATGCTGCCTGCCTCTCTCTGTTTTACTCTCTCACACAGATTTTAACTATGGTCAGCTAGAGCTGAATCTGGTACGGCCCGAGCATGAGACTTCTTCATTGCCGCCACAGGGCAAACTCAATGCTTACTATGGCAGTGGCCTGAGCACAACAGTCCAGTCGGTTGGAGCTGGCGCTGCTGAATTGAGGCATGAGAAGACGGACATACTGGAGGACTCGGAGACGGCAGCCGAGTACGTGGCTAATGCCATGAAAATGGCCTATGGCTCAAGGCACAAGGAGCAGCAGACGCCACTGCGCATTGTGGCCAACACACAGCGGCCCTATAGTCCCAGCTCCAGCTCGAGTTTTAGTTCCAGCTCCGAACAGCAGCAGCAGCAACAGCAGCAGCAGCAACAACAGCAACATCAGCAGAAGTTGAACCAGGACCATGCCAAGGCGCAAGCTCAAGCTCAGGCGCAGGCAGCGCTGCTGGAGGCACAAATGCAGGCGGAGCTGCAGGCGCAGCTTGTGCAGCAGCAGGCGCTGCTCCAGGCTGAACATCAGCGACAGCAACAACAGCAGCCGCAGCAACAACAGCCGCAGCAACAGCAACAGCAACAACCACAGCAGCAGCAGCAGCCACAACATCAGCCACATCAACATTCAGTAGAGTCCACACCCAATGAATCCTCTCCAGCTGCACCAGCACCCGTCTATGAGAAAGAGTCGGTGCCACGCAACTATGAGCTATACGAGACAGCCAACCAGGCTGAGCCCGTTGCTGGCGGCGACATCGAAAGACTCTATCGCACAAAGTACTATAGCTATCCAGCACCACAGCCGCAACCACAGGTGTATCGCCACCTGGAGGACGAAGCGGAGGAGAAGGTGCGCGTCTCAGCGTCCACAGAAATACCCAAGGCCGAAATCATGAAACAAATTGAGAAGTCTGTCATCAAGTACATGAAGGAGCTGGAAGCCGAAGGCAAGATCATAACCACACCGCAGGAGCTAGCACCGCCAGCCACCAAGACCTACTACAAGCTGCTATCGCTGCCCAGCTCCAGCGGCTCAAGCAGCTCAATTGGTAGCGAGGAGAAACGCTACAGCAGCAGCACGGTGCGTCCCAAGTACAGCAGCCCGCCATCCACTGGTCAGGGTCGTCAGCCGGCGCAGCAGCATGGACAATACCATGGCCAGCATCATCAGCTGGGCAAGCAAAGCTCCCATGGGCTGACCAAGCCACAGCGCTATCAATCTGAGACGGAAACTGCCTACCAGGCGCCAGATATCGGCACCGACTCACTGGCTCCGAATGTGGAGTTCATCTACAAGATCAAGACGCGAGCGCCACTGCAAACAGCCACCGTGAAGACCGTATCAAAGCCCTATACCCTGCCGCTGAAGAGCAGTGCGGAGCACTTTGATCATGGGGCTGCACTTAAGAACATCGAAGAGTTCGACTTGTCGCATGTGGTCACAACGCCAGAGCGCGAGCTGGAGGAACAGCGCGTCACAAGCAAGCCGCAAAAGCTATATTTCAACTCGGAGATCTATCACGATATCAACTCGTTGCCCTACAAGGGAGAGAAGCTGCGTGGCAGCAGCAGCAGCGGCAACAGCGCCAGCAACATCCACGCCATTCAGGCTCAAGAGTATCGGCACAAGCACAAAGCAGCCGCCGATCTGCATTCCGACTACAAGGGCTACTCCGGCTACTTTGCGGAGCCGGCTTCCAGCAGCATGGAGCTGGCCGAGAAGAACCGAGAACTGCCCAGTGGCATTGGCAATGATGGCAGCGAGGAAGGCTTTCCGCTGCCCTATCAGTATGTGCTGAAGAAGGAGCCACTGTCCGCCAAGTACGAGGAGGAGCGTGAGAGCTGGGAGCAGTCGATGCGCCTAGCCCATGGCAAGCCCGCCACCAATGGCGGCTACAAGGCCAGCAGCAGCAGTTCGAGCAGTCTGGAGTACGATAGCTACAGTCCCAAGTTCAACAACAATCCCGAGGGCTACGGCTATCAGCACACATACAAGACGCAGCTGCTCCGAGGCACTGGCTCAGTCAGCTCTGGCAACAGTGCCGTTGGCAAGCGCGGCAAGCGAGGCGGTGCTCCGCATCCAGGCGCTGGCGGTGTGCCGGGCAAGAAGCTGCTGCGTAGCAATGCCGGCACCTCGGGCCTCGGCGGCACAGTCGGCGTGGGCGGCAAGCTGGTCAAGGATCTGGAGGCCAATCTAGCGCTGCGACCGCCACCCAAGATATAGTCTGTTATTTAGTTTATTATATGAAAAATTGTTTTAATGCTGCAAAGATATGCCGTTGTTGTTTTTTTTTATTATTATTTTTGTTTTGTTTTTTTTTGTGCTTAGTTATTTATAGTTTGTTATTACAAATTATTTATTTAATAGCCAGTTGCAGTTCGTGTGGGGGCGGGGTAGCTAAGTGGGGAGGTTGCCACAACAGTTACATTAGGCTACAAAAGAGAACACAATAAAAAAATGCATCTTCAACAATATAAGCAAAGAAAACTTTGAGTAAGAAAATTGACTGAAGCAACAACTTGAGCAAAAGCTGAAGCTTGCAACTAAAAGCTCTAAGCAAGCAATCGTGAGAGCTTTCAGTATACCAAAAGCCTTGCAAGCTGTTGAGTTAAGAAAGTTAATTGTAAGCTAACCGCGCTTTGCAAGCTGTTTCGAAGCTTAATAAGCTCATGGGCTTCTGTTCGGCTACTAAGCTGTGAAAGCTGATTAAAAGCTCGTTGAGCAAATGTACATTACTTTTACATGTGTATTTGCTAGCGAGCTTTTAAGCAGCTTTAATTGTTTATTTCATTTGCGAGCTTTTAAACAGCTTTCGTGGTACATTTGCTTGGCAAGCTTCTAAGCAGTTTTCAGAGTACATTTGATCTGCGAGCTGCTAAGCAGCTTTCATGGTATATTTGCTTGGTCAGCTTTTAAGCAGCTTTCACAGTTAAGCAACTTTCCTTCTCTGTTAATAACTGATCTATTGCCAGTAAATACTTCACGTGGATACGAATTTGCTTGATTTAATCACGCAGTTCTCTAAGTAGCATATCAACATATATACTGGGATATATATGCTTTTCTCTCTGAGCTTTTCAGATAGAGTTCAGAGATTTTAATAAAAAAATAAAATTTATTCTAACAAAATATTTTCTTACATATATTTAAACAAACTTTATTTATTTTGTTACAATTTTTAAACACATTCAAAGAATGAGAAGAGTTCGTAAGTTCAATCAGATTTTCAAATTTGGAATAAGTAATTCTGTTTATAGCGATGACATTATTCTTTTGTGTTCAATAATACTCTGGGCAAAATTTTATTTCACAAATATAGTTGTGTATAAAAAAACAAAGCCTTAAACCTAAGTACATAATTCTGTATGCAATTGGCTCTCATCTGAGAGAGAAAATATTAAACATTATTTGGCAAAAATGATTTATGAAGACGCGTTGCCTACTCGTGGTGCGCGTAATGCTCGTAGTGCTCGGAATGATGCACTGGCTCCTCGTAGTGGCCGTGCTCGTGCAAATGCGACTCGCTGTGGCTCTCCAGCACCAGGCCGTGGTTGTGATTGTGCTCGGTCTTGGGATGGAGGATCTTCAACTTCTGCTTGGTGCCGCCAATTTCGATGGGCTTCTTGATGAGGTGCTGATCCTCGTGCTTGATGTAGACGGGCACGGCATGATAATGATGGAATTTGACGCTCTGGTGCGATGTGGCGTGCTTGTGATCCACCTCGTGATGCACCTCGGTCTCCTCATGTTCCGGTTCGTATTTGGCGTGCTCCTCATGCTCGTAATCATGAATTTTCAGCGCGCTGCTCAGCGCCAACAGAGCCAGGCACGGAAGCTAAGGCAAAGACACGCACAACGGCAACAACAAGAAATTAATAACGGCTTTAATTAGGCTACAACACAAGGATTACAGATTTTTTTATAGTTTTTTTCAGTTGATCCTTGAGTTATTTTTTTCATATTTTATGAAACATTTTTTGGCTTACAATAAATTTCAGCATTTTGTTTATTGTTTTCGGCTTCACACAGACACGCACAAAACAAAAATAAAAACACAACTCTAACAAAACGTTACACTCGAAAAAAAAAGTACAGCTATAAAGATTTGGACGATGCTGGAGTTGTGGACTCCTTGACGTTGCTGAGCTGAATGTGGCTTAGCCGTTGAGACCAGATTCGATTTATACCCGAAAAAATGATGTGTGCGCGTGCGATACGAACTGGCTGCAAGCTAGTGAAATGTGCAACACAAGCAACAACCAACAGCCAACAAGCAACAACCATGACAACAATTGAGTAGCTGCGGCAACGAACTTCAAAATGGGCAACAACAGCGAATGAAATTGAAGTCATAGTCGATGTCGTTAGTGGCATATAAGATAAGTTGTCGTTAGCTGCTTGCTTCACACACACTCTCACACACACAGATGCGTGCGAAAGTCATACAATTAAAAATTATTACGTATACGCCGCCTTGCCGCCACTTGATACAGCCGATTTTCCAGCAAAAGCCTGTTGTCATTTTTTTTTTTTGTGGTGTGCGTGTGTGTGTGTGATTGGCGGCGGGTTAACCACCGCCGCCAACACCAACCGGTCGAGCGGTGCACAAATATGTAATGCAAGTGCAAGGTAATTGAACAAAAAAAATATAAAAATAATAGCTGAACACATACACAGCTCAGCGGCACGATAACGGTTAGCAAAAGAAACAAAATAAACAAAGAAATAAATATCAAATAAGATTAATAAATTAAATCGAAAATGGTAGAAATTACGCCAATTAGCCGAATAGTGAGTGACATCGATACAGCAACAAATTTCAATCTCGTATGGGACTTTCTACACGCTGGGAAACGAGTCCGTTTGGCGTTTTACATTGCTGACCGATAATCTTCCTGTTCGCATTAGCAAGTCAAATATATATACATATATGTAGGTATACTAAGCGAATGTTGCATATCAGCGATTCTGGTTGCAACAGCAGCGATAACAATTGTTGCCAGTTTCGTCGTTTCGCTTCCTCGTTCGTTCATCTAGCCACACCCAAAACTACTCAAATGTAAATGTGAAATTTTCGAATGCTTTAGAAATTGGTATATGATCGACAGTCGCTAATTATAGCGAGGTTTTGATGTTTGAATATGTTAAACAAGAGGCACTGCAATAAGCTGCAGCCTAATGCGAAGCTGTGCTGTGCCGTGGAAGGGCTTCGTAGTGAAAGGTTCAAAATGCTTAATGACTGCACATTTACCTGCTCGTAAATGAATCGATGTTTATGTAAATGCTTGCCCAATCTTATTGTGCCTCAGCCATAATCTAAGTATCTATCGAAGTGGTTAAATCATTTTCGCTGTGTTCCAATTATCATTTAAATGCACATTAAATAAAAGCTATAGCAATTAAAATGCACTTCGATTAGATAATCATGCAGTGAATGGTAGTATTTGGCGCAGGAAGCTTTACATTGCGAAAATTTCCCAAAAAAAATGTAAAAACTTTATTTTTAAAAAACACGTTAAGAAATGTAGATTCGAACCGAAGTTTAAACCCGCTACAACGGTGTTAACTGCTTACCAAATGGGTCCGCTATTATTTTTTACTGTTACAATGCCGTATGTGTGCTTTAGTTTGCATTTCTTTGGGTTAGTATGCTTCCATCAGCCAACTCAGCAACGCCATGTACAGTGTAAAAGTAAAAGTAAACTACTTTTCTCCACGGGGAGGCCCACAAATTTGCATAACAAGCTGTAGCCACCATCGAAAAACTCGCTTGATGCAAAAACCATTTTAATTAATAATTTAATAAGCGCTTAGCTTATGTAACTTCAATCCTCTTCCCATACCACAGGAAGTCGCTTAATTTGAGTTAAAAAGCCGTTATCAAGAGCTGCCACTTGTTGTTTGCGTTATCGATTATCCGATTACACTTAATCAGCTGTGAAAAACGAAGATGCACATTAGGGATGAGCTGTTCAACTGAATACAGATAAGTTCCTGGTTTGACTGGCTCTCTGCTCCCTAAGGTGCCTGGCCTTCCGAGCCAAAACAGCTGCAGCAATATTGAGCAGCAAAAATTACTTGCAAAAAAAGGCAATATGACATCAAAAAAAATTAAAAGATATCTGTAGACATAATCCCTTAAAAGAGACCGTTGCTGACCCAACTAAAAATAATGCAACAAGTAACTTCAATATCTTAGGAAAAATCTATTTCTCTCTTTACTTTAATTTGTGGGCCTTCTATTAACATAAACGGCATTGACTTTTACTATTAAGACATTCAATTTAAAACATTCTATTATTTTGTAACTCTGTAAAATTAAGATCTAATTAATCGGTTCGATGACAACTACATCAGTTCTATCGATACAGCGCGCGACGCCTGAAATGTAACTGTAAAATGTTGTGCATTGTATTGCAAAAGCTGTGCCATGGATCTGGGCGACGCCAATCTTCGAACCCTGCGTGTGCTGGGCGAGGGCTCCTTTGGTCGCGTCTTCCTATGCCTAGAGCGCAATGGTCACGCAGAACGTAAAGTATGCGTAAAACGCATTATTGTGCGGAATCCCAAAATCGAGCTGCCCCTCATCAAAGACGAGGTAATGCACAAACATATATGTAAATAAGCTTATGAGTTAACTCACAAACTGTGCTGCTTAGATTTACATCATCTCCCAGCTGCGACATCCGCATATAGTGCAATTCATGCGGTCCTTCATGCACTCCGGCACTGTTAACATTGTAATGGAATATGCTGCAAATGGCACCATTCGCGATGTCATCCAACAAATCAATCAAACTCCAAAGGGGCAGCTGGACACAAGGCGGCTTTTGCGTTATTTTTGCGACATGATCTTGGGCTTGGAGTATCTGCACATACGTCACGTCATCCATCGCGACATCAAGCCGGAGAACATGCTTCTGGACGCGAATGATCGCGTCAAATATGCCGACTTTGGGATTTCCAATGTCCATGTGCCCGCCAACCAACAGCCTTGGCAGGTGATCGGCACACCGCTGTACATGGCGCCAGAGATAATGTGCGGCGCCAAATGTGACTTCAAGTCGGATATCTGGTCGCTGGGCCTAGTGCTATACGAACTGTGCCTTGGTCGAAATCCCTTTCAGTCCTTGCTCCGACCGACTGATCCCTTCGAACAAGTGCGCTCCGTCGTCAAGGTCATGGCACAGCCCAGGCTGGACTGTCAAGTAATCCGACGACGCTACGAGCCTATATGGGCACGTCTCTGTGAATTAATGGTTGTCTACAAGCCAGCACAAAGAATTTGCCTGCCCGATTTGATCTGCATCGATCCCTACATTACGCGCACGATTTATACGCAATACTTTAACTATGATTATTAATATTAATTGTAACTGTGACCCCTTCATGTGTCAAATGTTAGTTCGTTCTTTTCCAGTTTGATTGCGATTTGTGTTTAAAAACATTTCAATATTTATTCCTAGATCGTAATATTTTACATGATTTAAGCAATAAATTGTAACCGTAGACTAACTCTACGCCTTCCGCTGTTGGATCTTCATTTTAAGACTCTTTACCAGTGCGCTCTGCTCCAGCTGTTGCTTGGAACGCTTCTTTGCTGGTTGCTCTGGCTCCTGCTGCACGTTTTGGGTCTGCCGCCGCTTAAGCTTCTCGCCAATTAGCTGCTGCATGCCTTTAGTGGGCTTGTAGTGGGAGTGCGTGGGATCAATGTTGAACTCGTGCGACTTGTAGACCGCATTGAAGCGTTCGTCGTTTAGATTGACTTGGAAGTTATCCTCTTCCTGCTGTTTGCCCTCACTGGATTTCGACTTCTTGAGTTGCTTGCGCCGTTTGCGCTTGCTACTGCTGTTGGTTGCCTGTTCTTCCTTTAGGATTTTGGCTAGACTGAAGTGCTGCTTTGGCTGCTGTTGTCCTTCTTCGTCGTCATCCAGCAGCAACGCCAGTTGCGCCTCTGACTCCGCCTCCGCTTCGTTGGCCGTTGATTTATTATTCTTTTGCTTCTTCGATTTGGTGTTTTTACTCTTCTTGGGCTGCTCGTAATCACCGCTGGCAAACTCTTCAGCAAAGTAGGAGTCGTTCATATCAATGCCGTCGGGTATAGAGTCGTTATCACTGCTTTGTGCTGCATCGGGATCAATGCCCTTAAGTTCTAGTTGCTTGCGACGACGCTGCTCCTTACGCTGTTTGTTCTTCTCGCTGCGCTTCTGCAGCACCTTTTCGATGGGTGTAAGTTGAGGTTTACTGCTGCTACTCGCTGGTGCCTTGGCGACGTTATCCTCGGGCGCATCAATATTCCAGGACATTTCCATTTCATAGTTTTTCTCTTTAGACTTCTTCTCCTGCGCGTTAATTTCGGCTAGCAGACTTTTATACTTTTCAATGCGCTCTTTTTGCTTGAGACCCTTAGATGAGCTCTTAGTGGCGTCAGTTTGTTTTGTTGCATTTATCTGTTCATTATCAATTTCGGTTTGCTTCTGTTCCTGATCTTCTTCATCTTCTTCTTCATCCTCTTCACTGCTGTAGGCGACAATCTGACGCAGCTCTTTGTCGTTCAGCTGATCCACCTTGCCGCTGGACAGCTTGTCGCCAAGTTCACGCCTGTCCAATGCTGTTTCATCCCAAGTGAGATCCACCTTCGCCTGCTGCAGCGCCGTCGTGGTGAACTGTCGCGGCTTGTAATTGTTTGCATCCGGCAACTCATAGCACTCGTCCGTGGGCATGTCTTCAGCGAAGTCCGTGTCATCTGGTATAAAACGTAGATCTACACGCGTCGCGGAGCTCTCATACTCAATTCCGTCGCACTCCTTGTATACCTTGTCCGCCGTGGCGGCGCTGTCGCACTCAACGACGGCGTAGTAATACCGTAAGCGATTCAGCTGGTATTGACGCAATTTCTCCATGTGATAGTCGTCGCCTTCTTCTGCATCGCTGTCCTGCTCGCGTACCAGTTCTTCGTCAGAATCCAGATCACTTTCAGGCTGAGTGTTCACCAGCTCTGTAGGACCGTGCACATCCTCCTCGGCCATTCGCGCCTTACCATATTCGGACGGATAGATCTTAACGCTGAGAACGCTGCCGCCGGGAGGCAGGAAAGAACTGAGCAGTACCATTAAATCCTGCGCACGTATGCGATCCCAGTCCATGTTGCACACAGCCAGACGTCGTGTTGACTCCTCCGTGCACTCCGCATCTATATCCAATTCACCCCAGACGTGATCAATTTGCAGTTCTGGGCCTCCCTCTTCATCGTCATCCGTACTATCCTCATCCGACGAAGAATCAGTCATTAGGCGTCCCTCTCCGCGGGCATAATCGATGCTTGGATTTGTTAGACGCTCTCGTAAACTCTCAGGTACATCGGAACCATCATCATCATCACTGTTTAACTGCAGAGCGTCATTAGCCTTATCATCGCGTATGATGGCCAGCTCTTCGGCCCGGCGTTCCTCGTCCTCATCCTCATTGGCATCCTTTGACTCTTTCTTCTCTTCATCTTCATCTGAACTCTCATTTTCATCCAGCTCGTAAAACTTGCGCAGATCCTCGGCATTTGTTTTATTTACGGGCCTACCATACTTGTCCACGGTATACTTGACTTTGAACTTCTCATCGTCGAACATACCCTGGAAACGCTTGTCGATCTTCACTTTGCGCTGCACCTTGGGTACACCACGAAATCGCGGGTCAGCCAATAAATGCTGAAAGCGCGCATCCTTCCAAATTCCGGTTGACTCGGAATCAGCGTTTTGGGCATGTGCTGAAGTTGTAGCATTCTCCTGTTTTGTAAGCTTTGCTTTTGGCTTGACTGATTTGTCCGGCTTTTTGACCATGTTATATTATTTTAAATAAGATAGCAACACAGCAACACGTGCGTAGGGATGTTCACAACATATCGATACATATACCATTGCTGAAATCGTGTGATTTTTGTATCGATGTATTACGATGTATTCCAATTGGACCGAATTCGATATCTTTAGTTCATATATGAAGCAACGCTGATGAGTGCAGCGCTAATATTTCAAAAAATTATTGAAACGCAAACAAATTAAATTAATGTTTAAGCAATTTAAATTATTTTCAAATGTTATCAATTTTACATTAAAAGAGTAACTCTGCATTTAGGGAAATTTAAATTTTTGCGTTAATACACATGCATTTCGTTATCGTACTGCTAAGCAACAATATGTTATCGATGACGAGTTGCTGAGCTATATATATATATGTATGTATATGTTTGAGAAGTGTTTTTATTTAACTTTTTTACGCATTTAAAAATTACGGCTGAGTTGTTTAATGGCACCGCTAAATAACAATGGTATTCGCTGTAGTACATGCTAGTCGTAAGTAAGCCATAAAGGCGCTGAGCACTGAATTTTGTCCAATCTGCTTGCGTGGATGAGTTTTTGGATACCATAAACAGAAACAGCAACAGCAACAAATACTCCGGCATTGGATAACAACCAGTTTGTAACTACGCTTGTCTGAAAACAGTTAAGAATCAGTGCGTCTTGTATAAAGAAATCCATACGAGTTATTCTAAGTGCCATATAAAAGCAATAACAACAATACGATACTGTGAAAGCTGTTGGCGCGGGGGCGGACGGCGGGCCTACAAACATCAAAAGTATGAGTAATAACGTAGAAAGTAACGGCAATAGACGCACCGTTGATTGGCAACGTTTCGGTCTTGGTGGCGATGATGAAGGCGAGATAACGGTCGCAAACTTTCGTCAGCGCAGCAACAACAACACGGGTGGCTTTGTCGATTTAGGCAATGAGTATACGTACGCAGCTGGCGGACACCATGCGTCCGGCGCCAACGAAATCTTTGCCGGAGAGCAAGGCGACAGGCCATGGTAAGTTCACGTTCAGAATTTTGCCAATAATATTTGACTGATGTCATCATCACTCAACAGGTGGCGCTCGAACTTCTTGATCTCACAGCCAGTGCTGTTTGGAACATGGGACGGTGTCTTTACTTCTTGCCTGATCAATGTGTTTGGTGTTATCGTATTCCTGCGTTCCGGTTGGATTGTCGCCCAAGCGGGCATCGTCAATGCAGTCCTTATCATTTTCTGCACCGTAGTAATTGCGTTGATTAGTGTACTGTCAGCCATTGGCATCTGTGAGAGATGTCGAGTGGAAAGTGGCGGTGTTTATTTTCTCATTGCACACACACTGGGCTCTCGTTTCGGTGGATCACTCGGCTTGCTATACTGTTTTGGACAAGCCGTTGGCTGTGCACTCAACGTAATGGGCTTTGGCGAATCGATGGCTGGACTAGTGGGTCTCGAGGGTAACAAATGGGCCATACGTGGATTTGCCACAGCTGCTGTCCTACTGCTCGGCTGCATCAATGTGGCTGGCGTCAAGTGGGTGATCAAACTGCAGTTTATTCTACTGATGATATTGCTCATATCTGCGTTGGATTTCATGGTGGGCAGCTTTGTGGGCGAGGATCCGGGTAAGTGCTAATATATTCCTTCTTTTCTTCAATAATAGTAATTCTTAAATAACATTACATATTTTTCAGAAAACGATTTCGATGGGTGGATGAGCGGAAATTTTGTGAAAAATCTTTGGCCAAAATATGAACACGGATATTCGTGGTTTCAAGTCTTTGGCGTCTTCTTTCCTACCGTCACTGGCGTCTTATCCGGCATCAATATGAGCGGCGATCTACGCGCTCCGTCCACAGACATTCCTAACGGCACGCTGGCCGCTTTTGGCACTTCGTAAGTCGTTCGTATATGGATTATTTAATCGTTTGACTCATTTTTGGTTTTTTATGCAGCACTTTCCTGTATTTAGTTTTTGTGCTATTTTTGGGAGCAACATGCCAGCGAGCTGTATTATACACAGACTACATGATCTCTGTGAAGGTTTCGGCCGTTCACTTTCTGCTGCTGGCGGGTATCTATGTGTCCAGCATGTCCTCCTGCCTGGGTGCCATGTACGGCACGCCGCGTGTTCTGCAGAGTATCGCTAAGGAAAGCGTCATTCCTGGTATTGATGTGCTGGGCAAGGGTGTAAGTATATATATATATACATATATATAGCTCTCTCTCCCTCTATCTTGTTTCTATTGCCATCTCCTCTTCTATTTTATTTCATGCAGCGCGGCCCTAATAAGGTGCCCCTATACGCAATGGCCGTCGTGGCTATGGTTACTGTAACCTTTATTATCGTAGGCGACATTAACTTTTTGGCGCCCATTGTAACGATGCCCTTCCTGATGACGTATGCTTGCATAGACTACGCCTATTTCGCACTGGCCCAAACCTTTGATATTCAGGAGCAGCGCGAGGAACGTTTTCGTATACAAGCATCTAGTCCAAGCTACGAGACGCGTCGCTATGGCAGCGTATCGGACGGAGGCAATGATCTAGATATGCTCTTTCCGGATCGCGTACGGCATAAGAACCTGCAGAGTCCACAGAACTCGCCGATGCATCAAGCGCAAACATTGCCATCAGTGCCTTTAGATAACATCGTAGATTTCAATGAGTCAGCACCAAGTACTTCATCTAGACAAGGACCTACAGCAGTGGCGGACGACACTGGCGTGCCCGTAGATCCGTCAACAGCCCAGGCTGGCAGCGAAGTAGATGATGAGAACGAGCCCATTGCTCCGATTCGCCCGCCTATACATTCTAAGACGAAAAATTGGTATTCTGGCTTCTGCAATCGGTGGGCCTCATTGCTGGGCGTAAGTAGTTAGTTATCTTCCTTAAAGAGCTTCACTTTAATCTCGTATCTCGGATACAGGCACTCACCAAGCTGCTGGTCATGCTGTTGGTGAACTGGTATTATGCCTTAACATGTTTTTTGGTCGTATTTGTCGTTTGGTTCTATGTGGGCACAGCTAATCCCGCTGTCAAGCCTGGCTTGACCGCAGAGTTCAACTTTTTTGGCTGGCTCAAAAGCGTCATTTTCCGTTGCTTCGGGTACGTAATTGATACGAGACATGTATATTGAACATTTTGTGAATATCGAATATTCTTTTGTAGAAAACGCATGCATGAGTACGAGCAAATTGTTGTGACACCCTCTTGCCCAGGCGTAGATCTGTCGCCCACACAATTGAATGAGCAGAACGAGGACTTCAGGCCGCGGCCAAACTATCATCATTCTTCGGTAATAGAGGGTCGGCTGATAGACGACATCTAGACTTCTGGCCATGGGCCGTAAACAGTGGGAACATGGGTTATTGGGAAACGCGGCAAGCAATATTTTGAGTGCATTTTGCTAAATCTAAACTAAATAAATTAAAACATACAAATGTAAAGTGCGACACTAAAGATAGTTATGTTAAATCCAGCACATGCATTTAGAAGCGATCTTCCCACAAACACACTCAAATACCGAACCCAGCGCACATTGCAGCTTTAGCTAAATTAAAATTACTTGTGTACTAATTATTTATTAATCGTAAGTTCAAGAATTTAATCTGCTTCTAATATGTTCCTTTCTTGTGTAAAGTCCTTTTGCTAATTTCCTATTGTTTAATTCTATAGAAAGCCTGTAAAATTGTTGCTTAATAGATATGTTTCCGTACTTTTTGTATCGTCTCAAAGCACATACATACATTATTTATTTGAGGAAACATATGTGATAATGAGATAATAAGTAAAAACAATCAAAAACAAAGAAGAAAACAAACAGCCTAAAACAAAGCAACAGCAAATAGTTTTGAAATTTGGCGTGTTCTTATTCTAAGGGGAAAATTGTCAATGAAACTGATTTGATTGAAATACCTTATGTTAAAAATATATATGTATCTAAACTCACACACACAAACAACACACACACTGAAAATTGATTAGATATCGTCCGCAAGAGCCACAACTAATTGAAGCCCAACTTTTCAAATGCAAAAAATAAATAACATTTGAAAACTATAAAATTCATAATCGATTACCACTTATATCTGCAATAACTACATTATTTATACCACATTACATATGTATGCATATATAAATATATATATATATATATATATATATATATATATATATATATATATATATATATATATATATATATATATATATATATATATATATATATATATATATATATATATATATATATATATATATATATATATATATATATATCTCGGTATATAATCAAATATTTAAGAACATAATATCGAAACCCACATAAAACATTGCGCGTAATATTTGAAAAATATACAAAGCGTTTTACTTTTGGACGTACATACTTATATAGCATAAATTTAACCTAGTTATACAAAGAGCAGATAACGCATCCATGAACAAAACATAAAATCAATTTATATGTAATACCAATATTAACTGAAATGTGTAATAAGCAGTTTAATAAACGAAAATAATGTTTATATTACAGTCCATGTAACCCAACGAATTCTACTGCAAAGGAAAATAAGACGTAACAAATATACTTATTTCATTCGCATTACTTCGTATAGTAAACCTTTAAAGCTGATCAGTTTAAATTATTTAACTTACAAGTTAAATCAGTGCCGCCGAAGTTTTCAATTGAAATATTTATCGATTATTACCGAAAAGCAGATGTAAAAACTAATCGAAATATGCTAACGGCAGCCCTGGTAGGCAATTGCTGCATCCCTATAACCTCAAATCTACGCCAATAGAACCAATATACAAGAGAGTTTTGTCAAATATCCAGCAAAACTAACTACTGCAGGTACATGCGGCTGTCCCGATAGCTCCAGCCAAACGCCATGAACACCCTAATGCGCCTATCACTCCAGTTTCCCCAATGGCGCACATATTGCATAAAACAATGCGCATTCGCCGGTGCAGAAGCCGCTGCTCGAGGTTGGTAAACAATAATAGTAAGTTTAAAGTTATTCGTCTGCAATAACTGTCACATCTACCCACAGGTAAACCCAACTATGAGGAGTTCATTGGCAACCATCACCAGCAGGCGCAACGCAGCATCGTAGTGCAGGTCAGCTCAGAGAAGTCATACGCTGAATTGTATAACTACTGCAGCAGATTTGGACACATTGTCACGGTACAGCACTACTCCGTACAGCATGAAGATGAGCTGCACTATATGTTGCTGGAGTATGCCAGCTCGGAAGAGGCAACCGCCGCGATCAGCTCAAGTGCTTATAATGCAGAACTCAGCAGTAGTGGCGGTGGCAATGGCGTGCCGGTACGTTCCCCATTTCTTTGGTTTCGGGCGCCAGCTCCAGGAGCTGGACGACGGGGACAACCTAAATTGGCTAACAATCAGAAAGCGCATGCGCTGCACACTATCTACGGCACAAGGGCATTGAACCATGAGGCGTTGAAGGAGCTGCTGCACGGTGCCTCTAGTATTGACCAACAGTTGCATCTGTTGTATGAGCGAACGTGTTTGAATGACCTGGGTGTGCGCATGCGTTTTCTGGCTGCGCTCCAGGTAGAGCAGGCCATTTCGGGTATGTTTCCGGAAGCATTAGCGCAGCCATTTGGATCCTCGGTGAATGGTTTTGGCAAAATGGGCTGTGATCTAGATTTGATATTACGTTTTGATGGCAAAACTACAACCACTGATCAGGATATTCAACGCGAAGCATCTCGTCTTATATACCACACGAAGGAGAATCTAAGCAATGGACGCTCACAGACGCAGCGACAAATGGAATGCATTGGCGATATGCTGCATCTGTTTCTGCCCGGAGTCTGCCATGTGCGGCGTATTCTGCAGGCGCGTGTGCCCATTATTAAATACCATCACGAGCATCTTGACCTGGAGGTGGATCTCTCTATGAGCAACCTGTGAGTACTCGACTTAACATTAACTCATAAGTTTGCCCGTTTTTAGTAGAAAGTCTTAAACAAAGTAGATTGTAGAAATAGATTCGACATAATGTTGGAGTTTTAATAGGCCAAAGGGGGCTTTATTCTCCTGGTTTATTAACGTACTTATTGTTCGAAATGAAAACTTAAGATCTATTAACGATGCATATAACTCGTTGCACTCTACACTCGCCCAGGCAGTTCTAGGCTGTTAAACTTAGCTATCCAATAAGCTGGTATTGGCTTTTAGCGTCTGTAGTTGCTGGCCTGCTCTTCTTCCTTTTTGACGGCCTGGACCAGCACAAAGCTCATAACGCCGCAGATCACCGATAGCATTGCCATTATCATGGCCAGTCCCACAATCCAGGCAGTTTTGCCCTCGAAGAACCAGGTCAATTCGTCCACGCAGCCACTGAAGAAGGCGTTGCCACTGACAGTGTCGCGGCACGAGCTGGGCAATGGTTGGCGCAAGTCCAAATAGTCCCACGGTCCGCTGGCACCGCAGCAGCCAATATTCTCCTGTATCATGGTCAGCACGTAGTTGGAGTAGGTGTACTCAGATGTTGACACAAATCGCCTCAGCGAGACATTCAGCAGCGGCTGCAGACTCGAATTAATTGTGCTGTACTGCAGCAATATAGCCGAGCCGATAACCGTGGCAATAAAACCAAATATCTGCGTGCCAATGAATACAAAGAGAGCCAACGTGTTTTCCATAAGCGCACTAAGGCAGCCCAGGAAGCTGACAGCCATCATGATTATGCTAATGGCGATCAGCACATAGACGCCAATGTAAAAGGACTGCGCCTCCAGTATGCGCAGCCAATCATTGAAGCCCGGCTCGGCCCGCAACCAAACGGTCAACGCAAACAGCGCCGTTGATATCATCCAGGCTATAATGTTGAAGCAGAAGAGCGTGTACTTCACGCAGCCGATTTGTTTCTCCAGCTGCTCGTCGGCAGTTCCATAGCCAATGCCCATTATGAAATGCTGCAAGGGAGTAGAAGGGAAAACAATCAGTTGCAATATGCCAAAGGCTCCTCTTTATGCCTTTGCCTCTCACTTTTCACCTGCTACAATAGTAAACGATGCTGAGTCAACACTACTATAAATCACACTCAATCGGTAATAATACGAACTTCCGATGCCTTATTTCGCTGGGCCCAGGCCCGCCCTAATGGTGGCCAAGTAACTTGGTCTTATCAGCATTGCGTTTAACAAATAACGTTATCATAGTTGTGTTGGCTTTGTTCCAAGCGAAGAAGTGGCACTCACACAACATGATTAATACAGTTTGCTATTGCAACACTCATTGAATCTCAGACCGAATTTTACCAAACTCTATACGGAACTCAAGATTTCTACTTAATTGATCACATTTAGAGTTTTTTAAGGTCAATGCTTTAGTTGGTTTCACAATAGTATTAAAAAAAAATATATTTTTTAATTTTTGGTTCTTCACTTAACAAAACAAAATTTGTTGTTCACCTTTTTGATTGTTTATAACTCGAAAAAAAATATATATTATATAAAAATATATAAGCTTTTTGGTACACCGCTTAGTGGCTGCTCCGTTGGGTTCGTTCGTTGAAATCGTTTTGTCGGCTATCAAAAAGCCTACAATGCCAGAAACCTGACCAAAAGCAAACTTTAAGAACAGTATAGTATTATGTGCCAGAGTTATAACAACGACAACAAGTTTCAATGATGACAACATCCACAGTACAGCCGAGGAGACTCTAAGATAAGATAAGATAAGCTGGTGGCAGGTATGCCGAAGCTTTTGCTGATTAGATTAGATAGCAACAGGTGCCGATTGCCAAATGCTATATAATGCACGCATAACGGGATAGTATTGTCATCCATTTTGCCCATGAAGCAGGTGAATCAGTTACAATATTATGCCTCCCACTACATTGGTATTTCGTTTATGTTACCATTATGATTCACAATGCCGCTGACGCTTGTTTTAATCATGGACAGAGTTGCTGATAAAACTAAGCCCGCAATGCTTTCAAAACCATATCCGTTTTGTCGAGATGGTCAGTTCTTCTACGAAACCATGAATGAGACGACCAGCCACGCCCTGGCGCCTCAACGGCAGGTGAATCATACAGCCCAAAAGCTTTTCAGTTGAGCAATTCCTTCTAAAAACTTTAGTTTTCTTTTGTATTTTTTTTTTTTTGGACTTTTCAAAAAATTATTGGACATGGAAAATTATTTTCTTTACTTTCCGTGTACGTCTGCCGGTTTTGTCTGTAGCTCTGTGATCTGCAGATCAATGTCCTCATCAGACAGTCGCGAGCCCCTCCCTAGCTCCCTCCCTTTAAGCTAGACATTTTTGAAAATCTACCTCAAATGTTTCAGCTAAACTTATTATAAGCAAATATGTTGGAATTAAATTCATCTTACTCTTATCTTACCCGATTCTCGTGTTGTAGCACTGGCTTCTTCATGTCCGAGCTGCTGTACATGTTCGGGCAGATAGATCCGCGCGTACGTCCTCTGACCTTTTGTGTGCGGCGCTGGGCGCAATCTTGCGGCTTGACAAATCCGTCGCCAGGACGTTGGATTACCAACTTCTCGTTAACCTGCCTGGTCATGTTTTTCCTGCAACAGTTGCGGCAGCCCATTCTGCCTGCAATTGGAGCAATGGTGAAGGCCGCGACTGCAACAGACATTCGAGTCACTGAGGATGGTATCAATTGTACCTTTGCGCGGGACATGGAGCGCGTGGGCTTCCAGAGCCGGAATACGAGTAGCCTGAGCGAACTGCTCTTGCAGTTCTTTGAGTTCTACTCACAATTTGACTTTCACAATCGTGCCATATCACTCAATGAGGGCCGCGCCCTAGCCAAGCCAGATCATTCGGCTATGTACATTGTGAATCCGCTGGAGCAGCTGCTGAATGTGAGCAAAAATGTTAGCCTGGAAGAGTCGGAGCGACTGCGCATCGAAGTGCGTAATGCTGCCTGGATGCTCGAGTCGGAGGTGGAGAACACGACGCTCTCCGAAAGCGAGCGACGAGAGCAGTCCTGGGGTCTGCTCAATCTGTTCAAACATCCCGAGAAGTCTGTCATACGTCCCAACATGTTCTTCAAACCGCGCATGGTCGAGGTCAGCGATCTGTTTGATAAATCCCAGAGTCAACCGCCGGCCATCAACTACAAAAGCCCCACCGTGCGCCAGCAGGTGCAGAGCATCAAGGCAGCCGCGCGCAGCGAACTGAAACAGCTGCGAGAGTCCAGCACGACGACAACGACGACGACAACAACGTCCGCAGCCAAAACCAAACGCAGCAGGTGATAACCGGCGGCATTTCTAAAGACAAATCCCAGCTTAGTGTAAATATCTAACAAATAGAAAGTAACTCAACTCTGACTACATATTTTAGCTAACTAAATGTTGTTCATATTGTTAAGCGTTGCGCCCCAACGGGCGTACAGTGTACGAGCATGTTGCAGCCTTGCATATGCAACTCGTGTGTGGTGGGCCCAACGGAACAGCTTCCGAGCTATTCCTGTCTGCACTACCTGCCAGCGTTAAGTATTGTAGTTGTTTTTTTATTACATTTAATAAAATTAAAAGAAAGTGTTAAACAAAGCCAGTAAATGTTCATGGAGGGGCTATTGCTGGGATTGCAACAGTTGCTAGGCTTTTTATGCATGCTGTAAACTGATATTTGATGTATACAATGTAGTCTATATATATATATATATAAATACTATTGGCCCCATGTGTTCATATAAAAGTCAGAATTGAAGTGAGCCCACTAAATTGTTCATAAATAGACCTGAATATTATGCATTCGAAATTCGACCCGTCTACTTTTGGGTCACATATTCCAAAATAAAAAAAAAATATATATATATATATACAATACATGAATAACGTGATTATACGGGTAGGTTAGTCAGGTATAAGTGTCGACAATATGTATACCTTTTTTCTTTGTTACTCCTCTAAGCTGAACAATATGCTATAGAATTTAACATATTTCAGCTTAGCTTTAAGTAGTTAGTCAAGTTCTGATTAGATTTTTATAATTGCTCAATTTATTCAGTTTTGTTTTCTATAGTTTTTGTTCTTTTTTTTGTAATTTTCTATAATTAGGGCAAAGTCTTGATCGTTAACAACACGCCTCATGCTATAATTTTTTTGTGTTTTTCGTTCAAGTTTATGTTCTCTCATTTCTTGTTGTTCAACTATATTTGTAAATGTTTAAAATGCCACAAGTTAGCACGCGCAATTTGATTTAACATATATATATCTATACATATATATGTATATTTGTTTGTTTGTATGTATACAAGTACGAGTGAAAGTATGTATGTGTGCATAACAAGACACAATATATATAAATATTTATATCTGTTGTCAATGTATAATTATGTAAATGTTTACGATATCTTACGTGTCTGTGTGTGTCTGTGTTTTCAGTTTAAATGTTTATTTGATATACATTTGTATTTGCTGTAAGTGTTTGTTGCTGTTCTTCTTTTATAACATATTATATTCCTAAATAAATATGAATATTTTGGTTATTAGTTGATGTGTTTTATGTTTTTTTTTCTTTTCTTTTCATTTCATTACTTCCTTCTTTGTATTACTCGGCTTTGTTTATACGTTTTTAATTGTAATATCGTTTGTGTCTAATATACAAATATAATGCAACCGGTTATTGCTTCTGATTTTGTTTGCTTTTTTATGTACTCGTAATTAGGTAATTATGTAAGTATGTAAAGCACGTATCGCATGTGTATGTAACGATTTTTATTTCCATGTATTTATTTTTTTGTTGTTACGGCTGTTGCATTAGTTACTGTTTGTTGTTTGCAATATGCTTAAGTTATTTAAAATAATTTACATACATTAATTAAAGAAAATTAAAATTGTAAATCCTAGTTAATAGGTACAAAATATTGTTTGTCATGCGCCACTGTGAGAGAATATTAAACGACAAACAAACGCCTAATAATATTCATATATATATATATATATATATATATATATATATACATATATATGTCTGTTAAAAAAAAAACAAACAAGAGTCCTGTTCGTGTGGACAATATGGAAGCCAGCCCAAGGAAATATTGGGTGTTAACTATATAGTCGAAACAAGGCATCCTAATTAGAGCTCTCGCTTGGCGGCCATTAGACAATAATTTCAACGACATCACTTAACGATGCGGCGGCTCATCTAAACCAGAGCTTCAAGCGAAGCGCATCCACGCCGTTCAAATAATAACGAAAAAGTCGTTTATCACGCACAAAGCCCAAGTTCTCATACAGACGCAGCGCTGGTTCGTTACGCATCTCCGTTTCTAGCACCACTTCATCGGCATTGTCCGCTAGCATAGCCTAACATAGAACGAATCGAATACAGTTTACTGCTCAGTAAAGCTATCGGAAAACTTCTTACCTCAATGGCTTTGGTCACAAGCGTGGTGCCAATTTTGAGCTTGCGATACTCCTTGCGCACCGCCAACATCGCAATGTAGCCGCGTCTCACATTCATATGCATGTCCAGCTTGCATACGATGGCGCCCACATATTGATTATCGTGCGCAGCGAGGAAGCATAGTTTTGGCCAATTGTAGATGAAGTAGCGGTACGTGTATATCGAATATGGCTCGGACAGCTCTGCCTGTATCAGACGCATTATGTCCTGCAAAAGAATGATGGTGTCAGGATCCGTACAATATGGATTAACTAGCATCACTTACATGCATTTGATGCTCGGCTTCGTATTCCTTATAAACTATCTCATCGGCTGAAATGGCAGGTTCGAGCTGGAGCTGGAGCTGTGGTTGTTCTTCTTGTTCTTGGGGCTGTGCCACAGTTGCGCCTACTCCGGCAGCTGCCGATGTCGAGGGCGCTTCATCCTGGATGCTGTCCGTTGCGGTGATCTTTGCTGTGGTTTTTGTTGTGTGTGTGTTGGCAGTGCTTGTATTACTAGTGGCTACCGCGGCTGCTAATGATGTGTCGTGCTCTCCGCTTTCCGAGTCCTCTATTGATACCTGGGCCTTGTTGTTGTTTTTCGCTTTACTACTGCTGCTATTGTTGTTTTTTCTGTTGCGGCTGCTAGAGTTGATGTTACTCACATCGTTGTTATTGTTGCTGCTGTTGTTGTTATTGTTTATGTGATTGTTGTTATTAATGGCAGCGCTCTTATTGACATGCCCATTGACAGTGGCTCCTATTGAGGCCGCTGTTACCTTTGATCCCTCGATCACATGGCCATTACACAGCTGCACCTGCTCCATGAGACTATTGATTACGGACATTTCATTATTAGCCTCAGACTCAACGTGCCCATTGGACTGATGTACAACAGCCTTGACAGTTACTGGTCCTTGTGCTGGCTTTGCCTCCGATTTTTGTGGCTGCTGTGTTTTCTTTTTATTTCGATACTTTTTCTTGGAGGCCGCAGTTGTCGCTGCTGTCGCCGTGTCCGCCATGGCCACCCGAGTTGCCGCTGTTGGACGAAAGCAATATTTTAATTCTAAGCAGGAGGACACAGCTGAGTGCACTGGTTGGAAAGGGGTATAAGGAGTTTTGTATGCTCACCTGCTCCTACTACTGGTGCTGTAACTTTCCAGCTATTGATAGGCTATGTCACTGTCGCTGGCGAGGAGTCAACGCACTCTAGACGGATTTGCCTTTATTTTTGGTTATATTTTCACAGTTGCAAGTTTTTCATTCACACACCCGCACACACACACACACACAAGCATACAAATTCAAGAGCGATGAGCGTTATTATCGTGACTTTGGCCAATCACTGGTATCTGAACGGGTCGCAGTTCCTGAAACATAATGTAACTGCATAAAATCAATAGGACTTTTATATGTTTTAACTTTATACACTGAGTTTAAATGATTAATATAAAGAAAATTAATATGCATTTATTTTAATATTTGAATTGGATAACTATATATTGATTAAATGTTTCATAGTACATGTCCGCATTGAAATAGGCACTTAGTCATTTCCAGTAGTCACTGAAAGTCGAATATCGACCCATTCACCATCTCTAACACACATACACTCGGCACTGTTTGTAGCACTTTGTTCCTGTTCCGCTTATGATGCATAATTTTGTTTAGTTCTTATGTACGTGCTTTAACAAAATATGAAAATTGTACTTTACATGGCGACTTATATATATCAGTTAATACTCACCTCTATTGCTTTGCCTGTTATTTCTATTCTATTTGGTTATGAATAAATACACTGACATGCACACGACCACATGTAACTCACCGAACAGCTGAGCACACACATAAGGTTGTGCTAGCTATCGATTGCCACCGATAGATTTTCGTTTCGATAGTATTCTTGTTAGCAAATTAAATCGAAATTTCAAGCTTAAATGTTGGCGCCTTTCTATTTCTTTCATGTATAAATGTATTCTAAAAAATTATTAGATGCAAAGGTTAAAGGTTCTTCATAAAGCATCACGATATGTTAAAATTTGTTGGTAAATTAAACTTTTTTCAGCGGTAAATAAAATGATATATTTTTATACGTATTCATTTGTTTTATTTTTCCTTAAAATTGAGTTGAGTTTCTGATTTTTTTATATTAAAATTTAGGTGCTAAAACAACAAAATATTTAAAATCTCTCATGAATAACACCGAAGTCGAGACCAAAATAAAAAGCAATAAATATAACCTTCGCCTACATTTCAGCCAAAAGCCAGAGATCAAACAAAACATAAATAAAATAAAGGGGATCGAAATATACCAAGATTAATGTCCACACATAAAACTGTAACTAAATCTTAATTTGATATCTGTCGCTGCGGCTCTTAAAAGTCGTTCATGCAAAGTGAATGCTTCGCTCTGTCTTCTTCCTGTTCGATTAGTGGGTGCTGGACTTCGGACAATCGTATGAGTCAAGCGTTGCTTGCAGCCAGCGTTTCCAAGTGTTTTCAAGTGGGCTTTTTTATACCGATGTCGGATCCGGAGCGGGCTTGTCTTATGTAAGCAACGCACAGATTGCTGCGTCTGGAAAGATTTTAATTTCAATTCGATTTTAGCTGAGCTGCGCTTAGCCAAACTTGTGGAAAACAACAAATATGAAAACGGGATAAATATAATAAGTAATATTCGCTGAAGACTGAATACACTAATCAAATATATATTCGAGATATGCGAATGCTTCTAGCTACAACATTTCAATAATATTATATTTAAAATTAATAATTTTTTGCAATCTATTGAAAATCTTGTTTCTTACAAAGCGCTCAATATATTCGTAAAGCCCATTTGACTAAATGGTTACAAAAGTACTCGACACTCACCGCAGGCCTTTCACTTGGACAACTCGAAAGCTAGACAAATCCAAGCAAACCGAACCAAGCCAAATTCAACAAGCAAATATACTGGACAAGTGGATGAAGATGACACAAACGAGTCGGGCAGGCAGACAGACCAAGATGCTGAGTGGCGCGACGGCTTTTAACTGCACTCAATTGCACGCACACAAAATTAAGCAGACAATTTTTTAGACGACCTATGTTAATTGGCATCGTCTGTGACTTTGTCATTTGAGGCATGAGTTGTGTACCTGTCGGTCCACTGATTGATTGGGCGCTGTTTATTTGGCCCTGTGCATGAGCTAAAAAGATCGCGTCGTAAAGTGCGCGGCATCAATTCGACGCCCGCTAACAAAAGACTTAGGCAACGAACTTGGCATTGCTCGTCGCCTGTCACTGTTCGCTTCTCGCTCGTTGTTGTTTCAACTTGGTTTTGTTATGAATACTTATCGCAGGAATTGGAGCACAATGCACGCAATGCGTTAACATTAAGCCAACTGATGCAATGCCTCTCCAAATTATGCCAAATTGTGTCATCAGCTCGAAACACATGAGGCACCGAGCACCGATGGCATTAGAGTAGATTAGAAGCGTAGCGTGAGACCATAATATTATCAGACGATTGGATAATATTGATGAGAAATTTGCATACACCAATACATAATCGTAGCAGCGTCTCTCTGTTTGTTGTTTCACTTTTGAAAAGGCCAAAAATTAGCAAAGTAAACAAGCAAAGTCAAATAAAAGGCATGCGGAGAAAGTGAATGGCCGAGCAAAGTAAAAGCAAGAAAACAAAAACAATATCAGCGACAACAACAACAGCAAAAACAAAAACAACAAGAGGCAAACAACCATTGAGCATGAGTGACAAGCCAACACCCGTCTCTTATCAAAGATGCAAATCTCCGTGCAGCGATTACGCAGACTCCGTCGCACTTCAGCTACACACTCCAACTAGACCTGGGCCAGGTTTTTGTTTCAGATCGTAAAGCAATTTAAGTTTTTTGTTTTTTTTGAGCAGCAACAACAGCAATAGCATCAACATTGGGTCTGTCATGTCGCCGTTTTGTGTGGTGTCATTTTGCCGGCCCCTGTTGCAACTCATGTGCATGGGGCAAAGCCAGCTCACAGACCCTCGGAAAATCCAAGCCACAGCCGGAGCATAGTGCACACGCATGCAGCATAAGACAACATTTAACTTCGGCATCACTCAAGCAATTTTTTTTGTATATACCCTGGAACTATTAAATGTGTATAACGAAGTTTTGCAAATACATGAAATTATTATGCAGATGACTCTACGCTGAAAATATATATGTATGTAACCAGCTGGCAAATCTTTGATCAGCCCCAAATAGTTGTGGCAGCTAGACTTGGTCCGAACGAGTAACATTATTACTAGAAGTACATAGCTAGAAGAACGAGTGGAAGAACGATCATGAGAGAGATAGTAAGAAAAGAAGAGGGAGGCGGAGAATGAGAATGATAATGAGAGAGTGAGAAATAGAGAGAGAGTAAAAGAGAAAAAAGTGTTTAGCTAAGAGTGAGAGAGGGAGGGATGAAACAATCACGAGCTACTCTTACTTTCTTTTTCAAATGCTCTGACTCTCACCCTCGCTCTCTCTCTTTGTTCTTCTTTTTGGGTATATAAGCAACACTCCCTCTCTTTCTCTCACTCACTTTCTCACTCTCTCTTTCTCACATTCTCTATCTATACATCTGTCTCTTTCACTCTCTCTCTCTTTCTCTCTATCTGTATTTTCTTTATATAATGTCTCTTTCACTCACATCCTGCTTCTCACACTCACTCTCTTTCCCTCTTATACTATCTCTATTTCTCCCTCTCTTGAACTCTCAAGTATCACCGCCTTTTTTGTGATTTTCATAAATATAAAATATATCATCATCTAAAAAACTTGAATACTTTATGTATCAAGCACCGCCTGAACACAATTCAGTCTACATAATTTGCAAAAATTGCGCATGAAAACTATTCAGAAACAAGTCTATGGTATCTGCTAGTTGAACAATGCTCGTACGCATATTGAGTTTTCTTCTTCTTGTAGAGTAAATTGCCGCGTCAGCGACAAATTGTGTCAAATGTTGTCACCAAAAGGTAACAAAGGGCAGACACGGTTCGGGCTTAAACGAAGCGACTGGTAAACATCTTTAAATTTTTTATAATTTTTATTGTACACCAGTAAATGCCAAGCGAAAATGGTAATGTTACAAATATATTTGTGTGTTGTTTTTTGTTTGTTGCTAAAATTGCTTTTAATTATTTCGAGCAAAAACGTGTCAGGCAACGACTGCGTCTGCAGCCGAGGAGAGACGAGTCGCCGACTATTGGGCAAGGGCAGGCAGCGTAGCGTTATGCAAAACTAGAAGAGCGCCAAAGTGGAGCAGAAAACGAAAAAAAAACACACATACAAAACATAAAATGCTTTTAGACAAACGTTTAGATGTGTTTTAAACAAATATTGGCACAAAATAAACAAATTACAACCGTTTTTATGTGTTTCTATGGGTCTTAAATCACAATTTGAACCTGGGGTACATCGCACAAAACATAGCCTGGGAACACTTTAGCAGCAGTTGAGCAATATTTAGCAGCTTTACAAATATTTCACAGTTTTCAAATATTTTTGGAAATTATAATAAATATAATAATTATATTTTACTGTCTGGAATGTTGAGTACTTTTTTGATTTTTTAAATTTAAATACATAAATAAATATCTTGAAACGGTAAAGACGCTTTTCAACGACAATTTATTCTTATTGAAGTCAAGTTATATATTTAATACAAAATGAGTTAAGCTAAAATAAAATATAAAAATTAATAATGAAAAAGAAAAATAAAAATATTTATTCATGTATATTTATTTATATTCTTAAAAGACAATTGGGATAAAAAAAATTATATGAAGAAAAGTTAATAAAAATGAAAAGTAATATATAATAAAAAAAAATAAATAATATATAAAATATATATATTTATTTATTATCTTTTATAAAAAATAATTCAAAATAAATAAAATGTACATATTAGTAAGTACAATAAATTTTAATAGAAAACAATAAAAACAAAAATTAATTAATAATAAATAAAAAAAGAAAATAATATGATTTCATAATTATTATATTTTAGTCAACTAATGTGGACATTCGTTTATATGAATTATCAAATAAAGAAAATTTTTTCATTTGTTAAAAATTTTATTAATTAAAAATAAATTAAATAATTTTCTATTGAAATCAAGTTATGTGATCTATAAAAACATTTTTTTTTAATTTTTCTAAAAAAAAATATTAGTAAATAAAAAAGATAAAATTAGTATAAATGTATATTATTTTTGAAGTCAGTTAAGCTAAGTTTGTATTGTATATATATGCTCAAAGCAGAAAATAAAATAGTTTTTTTCCTAGTTTATCCCAGCGTGGTCACAAATCGAAAAACAATGCACGAATTGATCCAGTTTCAGCAATGGGCGGAGTGCATCGTAAACCTACGCAGTGCAATGCGAACAGCATATATATATATGCACATACATACCTACACATATATATATATATATATAAATATATTTATATATATCCACTCAATATGCATATATATTCATTATGCAATAATGGCACGGCCAAAGACAAATCTGAAGCCGAAGCAAAGCAAAGCAAAGCCGAGCAAAGCACAGCAAGGCGAAGCAAAGCAAAGCATAATACAATATAATCGTAATCAACTTCCAAATCAATTTGAGCCAGCGACTGGCCTCAAGTGGAACTCTATAGGCTTGAAATGGAGCAGAAAGCGGCAGGCAGTGCGTGGCTGTATGCAGAGATGCGTTTGGCCAAAGTGAAATGGCAAGAGATGCAGATGCAGATGCAGTTGCAGTTAGAGTTGAAGTGGAAGTGGAAACCTGTATGCTAGAATGCCAAACATCGCTCTCTGACTCCTAGATCTGGCACGTTTATGTTATGCACAGGTGTTTTTGGTCAAGGTGAGCGAGCTGAGCAGAATATCAAACAGCAATCAACGAGCAGCAGCAGCAGCTACATTGAAATCCAAAATCCAAGATTCCATGCCCAGCATTAGTTGCAGCTTCTATAGCAGCCCATTTAACGCTCTCTTTTGGGCACGCAATTCACCTGAGCCCCAGACACTGAGATACTTACATGACGCCGACGTTGTCGTCGGCAGCAGCAGCAGCGCTAGCGACATAAACATCAACAGCAGCGTTGTCAGCGTCAGTCCAACCCGTTCAGTATAATTCGAACGCTCATTGAAAATGGTCTTCAGGCCGCGCATGCGCCAAGCTAAAAGCACCACGTTCCCCTGCAAATCGTAGTCGAAGTCGAAGTCGGTTTCGGAGTTGAAGTCGCGTGCTCAACATACTCTATATATACATTTATATATACAACATTTCATAGTTGAATTTGTATTTTTGTTGCTGTTATTTTTAGTTTGCTTGTGTTTGTGCTTGTGCAACGAAAGTTTAACGCCTGAAAAATACAACAAAAAAATAAATCTAAATAAAACCAAATACGAAAACAAAGTTGTGAAAAATATATATATATATATATTTGAAGACGTGCCAAAGGCGAGGCGCCAAAAGTTTTGAAAATGTAATTGAAAAAATTGATCTTGTGTTGTTCACAGCCAATGGAAAGTAAAGACGTTTTGATAAGTAAAATGAAATGATGAGTGAGAAAAATGCTAGCGAATGACCTTGACACGACACGAGGTGGCAGGGTCGTGCGATGGAAATGGGGACGAGGGGCGGCTTGCAGTATGCAAATTCGCCTAGCGATTGTCTCTGCTCGTTCGATACATGTTTCACTGTTTGTCTGCTAACTTGTTGAACAAAAAAGAAAACAACTAAGGAGGGATGGGCGTGGCAGCTAACTAATGTTTAATCGTTTCTGCTAGCAATCAAACAATCAGCATCAGTGACGTTTGACGTTTGACCATGATTTAAGAGTTAATGTAGCCGCAGCTAGATCAAAGCTCTGATAAAATCCCCTTCACGATCGTCAGCTATTTATGTTACAAATGTAAAGTCTGCTCAGATAAGGTAGATGCTTAAGGTATAGTACAAATAAGATATCGAGATTCATGAACAGAAAGAAGTCAAATTCACAGAAAGATTGATAATGGCTTGCCTTGGCGTGGCTTCGGGCTTGAGCTTAGTTTCTAGGTTGATTCAGACATCAATAATTGGCTTGGAAGGAACTTATTAATGTGCTGAGTTCAAGCCTGAACAAGACTAAAAAAATGTCAGAATTATATGTAAAAAAAGCTTTCTTTAGTTAGATTCGAGAGTTTGTTACATAAAGAGCATTTCCTGTTAGCTGAAACTTAAATAATATGATTGATAGTGAGCTTTGGTTCGTTGGCAAAAATTAGTTTAAAATTTCAAGTTCAATGTGGCCTTAGCCTAAGAAATCAGCAGACAACCGCTAAGGCCGGGTCTAACCCATTCGCATTTCAAGTTGAGTCAGGTTTTAGCTTAAGAAATAATCAGAGTTAGCCGATGAAGCCGGCTCTAACCTACTTACTCTATCAAATTCCTGCATATATTAAATCTTCATATAATGAAACAAAATTCAATTAAAGAAAACTGAATTTATTTTTAAGTCAACAAGCAATTGTTTATGAAGTCTAATGAATGACAACGACAACATCAAAATATATACTATAAAAGACAACAAACAATTAGCACTGCTGACAGTGTAATAATTTTTTACAAGGCAACGAAATGTCAACGCAACATTTGAAAAACCCTTTTGTCATAACTTTTGACAGCATAATTAAAGTAAAAATATTAACAAAATAAACGACATTAACAACAATTTTAATAAGCAAAAGAAAGCATTTAAGAGCTAAGAGTGCTTCATATTTGTTTCTGTTTCTGTTGTTTTTGTTTCTTTTTTTTTTTTCTTGTTTTTTTTTTTTTGGTGGCACAGGTGAAAGTGTTGAAGAAAAAAAGGGAAACAGCAATAAACTGGCAAAACATTCATATAAGAAATCAATAATAAAATAAAATAAGGTACCAAAATCCAATTGACTGGGTAAAAGTTGGCCAAAGCAAAAAAATAAAAATATATAAGCTAAGCTAAAAATACAGAAGCTGAAAGCGTTAATGAAACTAGGCAAATAGTTAGAGCTGATTATATGGACTACTCGGACACAATATGCATTGGATTTGGCCAAAGCCGGCTTGGTTTTCCTTTGGCTTTTGGCTCGGCCAAAAGTAGGCGTTTCTTTTTCCTGGCCGCCCAAAACAACATTCACTCGTCATATGTAGGCAACGCTAGCCACTAGGCGCTTAACTAGAATTTTGCAGCAGTTGCTGCTGCTTCAACTGCAAGCGCAGCCACAGCCGCAGCAGCTTTAACTAATACTTGCAAATTTACCATAAGCCAAAAGCCAGTCCGGCTAGTAGGCTGAAAAGCAACAAAACCCGTGTAAAAACCGCTACTGCTGCAAAAACTCAAGCCAAAAGCTGAAAGCAACAAATTCATTTGTAACAAGTTGCAGTAAAAGTGGTGCGTATATGTTGTCCCGTCTCTTTTTAGCTGGCTGCCATCCCATCTCTCGCTCCCTCCCTTCCTCTCGCTCTCTGTCTCTGAGTCACTCCATCTCTGTCTGTTGACTAATGAAGCACATCGGCTTGAAGTTGATGAATTTTACGCGCTTTGTCGCCACTGACTAATTGACTAAAGTGAGAGCAGGCAGCAGTCAGCAGTTAGCAGTTAGCAGTTAGCAGCCCAGCGGCGCTTTCTCAACGCTTTGTACCGGAAATGGTAGCAGACGACCTTACCAGTGCGTTACAAAAGCAACAAAACACCCATCAAAATATATGACAGTAGCAGCCAGTTTGTGTCTTAAGTCTTTTGATTTGATAGATTTATTGATCGACTTTTCATACATTGCAATCGGCTTTGATTGTTTCTCCAACAGCTGCAGCAAGTTCGTGTCTTAATTCTTTTGCTTCAACAAATTTTCCGCAAGGCTCACGACCTAATCTAAGCTCGTTTATGCAGATTACAAGCTAGATTATCAACAGCTTAACAAGCTCCAAGCAATTGCAGCACAAATATCTTGTATGGTGCATGAAATGCTTAGCTTCAGCAGCAACAAGTTTGTGTCTTAAGTCTTTTGTATTTGAGAAATGTATTTAAATTGATATTGTTAGCTGCACTTAAGCATTGTGCTACGATTCGATTATACGTTTTCTCTGACATATCTAAGTTTTGATCTTAATGAAAATCTAGTTATTTGATCTTCAATGGAACTTTCTATATCGAATTTCAATTTATTGAATATAGAGAAAAATCTTTGTAATATACACAAATCAATCTGAGATCTATCTAATTCACATTGGCTCAAGCTTAGGCTACAAGGAAAACCATATTCCAGCGCAAATCTCACAGATACAACAAAAAAAAAACGTATGCTGCGCCATAAATTATGTTGATTTAACGATTCTTTGGAAGAGAGAAAAAAAAACAAACTTTCTTTAAGCCGTCAAGGTGTTGATGACGGGGTGCGGCACATGCATTTGAAGTTTTATGTGTAACCCAGTTAAATTTCACAAGAGTCCAACCGATTGCCATGCAGTGCAGCGTATTAAGTAGACTCTTGAAAAGTCTCTAGAAATAGCTAAATCGCTCTTTTGAAGGTCACTTTAATTACCGACCAAATTACCAGAGTGCTCTTATGCTCTTGATTAACTAAGCTAATGAAGTGGTATTTCTATCTCTTTCGCTCTCTGCTTCACACACTATCCCTGTCTCGCGACTAGAAACAATGAACAATGGCAAAAAAAAAAAAAGTAGACAAAACTAAACAAAGCTGCAAGTCAATTGGTGCTCGAGTTGGCGATTACTTTAAACTACGTTACTGAATGTTATTGTTGTTTTGCTGTGTTGTTGTTGGTAATGAGTGAGGTCAAGTGGGCTATGTCGTCAAGAAAGTTTGCACGCAAAAGTTCAGGGCCAAAGCAATTCATGTCCTAGGCATTGCCAGCTCTAATTGATCTATTATGTATTATATGATTAGCAAATCATTATCTTATTAACGAGTCGGTTGGGTCTTGGGGCAATGGGCTTATAATGGACATATAATAAGTTACGCTCACCCTAGGCTTGGAACATATGGCTATTTGAACTGTGCCACAGAATTTTGAAAAATTTATTGACCTTTCCAGCAGCTCAAAATTCAGTAAGCTTCAGCAAAGAGTTGAATCGAATTCAAGTTTTGCCAGAAAATTTATTTGCATTTGCAACGAGCTTCTGGAATTTGCTCCTTAAACACTTAAGAACAACCTTTTAAAATATGTTTTTTTTTTAGTAGCACATTGGCCAAGTCAAAAGTGCCAGTTAATGCTAATAGTATTTAAAATGTTTGCTGCTCGGCTAATTATTGTTCATTCGTGTCAAAGTTGCTGGACCCTGGCAGCGCGACAATTTCACTTCCGTCTAGTGCGTCGAATGTAATGTGTCAAGTTGAATAACAAAACGGAATGTTAAAGAAAACTGACAATGAAGAGGCAAATGAAATTAATATGTCAAACGATCATAACACGAAACGCTTTAATTTGTGCGTTGAGTCGTGGCACGCCTAGGACTAGGCCATTGTGATGAGAGAAGAGAGACACAGAGAGAGAGAGAGAGAGAGAGGCAATAATAATATAATCCGTATAGAGTTTATAAACTTAATAACAATAACAAACAGCAGAAATTACTTAACAGCAACTTAATTGTTACCACACACACACACACACATGCGCGCGCGCAGTCGACGTTGACGTCTAATGCGCTTCGGTGAAGTCGACTTTGACGTCGGCGTCGCCGGCGGATTGGAAATGCACTCACCAAAGATTGGCTCACTTTTTATGTTGCTGCTGTTGTTGTTATTATTATGTCTGTTGCGGCAATTGTAACAAATTATTTGCGTTTTGATTGTGGCCAATGTAATAAACAAACAAACCACACGCATACACACACACATGAATACAGCTAGACACGCACAGCGACAGCGATTATAAAATTAAAATATATTTTTTTTTCTTTTTTGTATTCACAATTGAAGTTTAATCGAATTTTGCAAAAATAGATATGCAAACAACATAAATTACGTATGCGACGCGTTGTACATGGCAGCAGTTAATTGTTATAGGAAATTGCAAAGACCATGCAAAAAAAAATAGATAAAGAAATCGGGCTAAAGCTATGCAAAAATAGTTGCAATTAAGTTGAGGTAAATATGCATAAAAACATACGTCAAATCATGGAGAGAAACTAGTTTGCTGGCTGCGGTTCGTCAGTCTGGACATCTGTATAAATTTAAACAGAGTTTGTTCACACATTCAAGAGTTAAGGAAAACCCTTTTGAGTCAGTTGGCTTTTAAGATCAAGCATTAATGAAGTTTGCTTTGCGGTTACCCACAGAGTGAACGACAGGCTGTCATTATATCATTATCGCAGGCATTCACACTTATCATTAAATTCCATACGAGCGGTTGCTGGCTGGCTTTGATTCGCATGCATATTAATTGTGTGGACTGGACTGGAAGTCAGCCAAGCGATCATATCGCATTCTCTCCCGATGCAGATCAAATGCCATACAATTTGCGCCAACTGCCAAGTGGATTTCCGCACAAAGCGCCGAGTAAAATGCATGGAAAATTTTGTTGACAAAAGTGACAGCCAGCAAGCAAACAAGACGACAAGTGTACAGATTTATATAGCCGTGAAACGATATTACAAAATCGAAATAATTGAAAGGAAAATGTTTTCAATTATGAATAATGGATTGATGGAGGCGTTGCTATGGCAATTGAAATCTGTCCATGATTTATTATGCAAAATATGATTAAAGAGCTGGCAGTTTGGATGCAAGAGAGACAGCGAGCCAGCGAGACATCTATCATCTTGGCGAATTGTGACGCAAGTCTAATATAGATGACGATCTTGGCCAGCTTTTTTGAGTTGTCTGTGCGGAACTGCTTTTTACGGTCCATTGCTATCTGGCTGGGCAAGTGCTTCGCGTACTCCGGCCTGTCTGTGGCCTATCGAAGCATTTAATTTTCACTTAATTAGCGTAGTTAAATCATAAATTAAATGACTGCCGTAGAAAGCGACGACGAAAAATATTGTCGATCGTCTACGTGAACAGCTGGCGTTGACATGGTTAGTGTCCAGCAGCAAAGCCGTTAGCTAAATGAACTGTTAGATAATCTCGTCAAAATGAATGTAAAGGCAAAAAAAAAGCCTCATGAAATAAAAATTCACTCAACAGGCAGCAGCAGCGACGATTATGGCCTAAGCATTTGGCTCTGCCTGACTAACCCGTCGACGTGCTGCGCATTCTAAATGGACTGCCAGCAACTGCAGCGCATAACAGCTCGACGACTGTGCAACTGGAATTCGTATTGGAGCCCCAAGCTATGACTGCAAATGGAACTCCAACTGCGGCGCAGTCACTTAGAGTCTGTGTGTGCCATTGCGAAACGCTCTGGAATGATGCAGCTAGCCAGTTTTTGTTTCCTTTCAATCAACTGGCTCGCAATGTGGTCGTCGCGTTTCTAGCCAAATGCTCGGCATCGTCTTCCTGCAAACCTAACAGCTTTTCACATTCCTTGCCTTGACTCGTGCATTTCACAACTTAATCCAATCGGACTGAGACTCGGACAACGCTCGAACAAGTTTCTGATCAATTGTTCTCGACTTCGTCTTGCAGTTCAACGTATTAATAATTCTCTTTAATCGAACTCCCTCTCTTGCAGCCCACCAGTATGGGTAAGTCGAGCCGCTTGGGAGGCCAGCATGCACAGTTGCTGATGCTGCTGATGCTGCAGTTGGGCACAATTGCGGTTGGCGCATTGCCAACTATAAAGCAGCAGGGGCAGCTGGGTGGCGTCAATTACGTGCAGCAGCTGGACAAAAGCTTCTTTCAGCCGCGCGAGGTGGAGCAAACCATTGATGAGGTGCAGAAAATATTGGCCAATGATCCAGCGCTGCCCAGGCTAACTCGGTAAGAGATGCTAACGATAAGTCCATTCGTCTTGATGGTCGCTAACCAATTGCTCTTGACAGCGGTGAGATCGAAGAGCTGTACGAGAAGGTCACTCGCGAGGAGTACGAGAAGAGCATCGAGGCGGGCGACATGAGTCGCGCCGACAGCATGCGAGCTCTGATGCTGGTGCTGCCCTACAACACGGACAACAACACAGAGGAGAATCTGCAGGAGCTGTACACGCGTCCGCCGGTCACTCGTGTCATCGACGCTTATACGCCGCCGAATCCCATTAAATTCATAACGCCCGATCCGAATGCAATGCCGCGTAGCACGGTGCCCGGTGGCAATCCGGCTGTGGCTGCCACCACCTACAAGCCCATCTACAGCAGCCTGCAGAAGCAGCTGCTGCCGGCGCCCACGGCTACAACATACCATCCGCCAGCGCCAGCACCCGTCATGTACCAGCTGACGCCGTCTCTGGGCAAGCCCAGCATGGACTTCCAGCCGGTAACGAACGTGGCGCTGGCCTACGACTATGCCAAGGCACAGGCAACAGCTGCGCCGCCTCGTGCCGCAGCCCAGACTGGTCAGCGCTTCAGCTCGCACTATAGCGCCAAGAATGCACAGTTTTTGCGGAAGCCGCTGCGGCCAGCTCAGGGGCAGGCCATTGGGCACAGCAGCACAGTGAAGCCCGTGGCTGACATACTGGAGAGTCTAGGCATTGTGGGTGGCGCTGGAGCTGGCGCACAGAGCTCGCACAAGCGCTACGCCATTGACGATTACTATCCGGCGGAGAGTGCACCGCAGCCCGTTGTCGCTGTGGCGGACTTGCGTGGACTGCAGGGCGCTCGCATACGACCCGATGCCTACTCCAACTTCAAGCCGCTTAACATTGGCGAGGAGCTGCGTGTAAAGCCCGAGGTGGAGGGTTATCTAACGCGCTTTGGCATTGTGAAGAAGTCGCCCAAGGCATTGAAGAAGTCTCAAGCGGCTGCCACGGCCACCGAGGAGCCAACGGGCGCCCACACAGAGCTATCGACGGCAACTGCCAAGGTGCCGCCGCAGAGCAATGCTGAGCTGGCCAAGCTGCTTGAAAATCTGCAGGAACTGGAGCGCTTGCAGACGAAGGGTGCGCGGAAGACACCAAGCTCCACCAGCACCACCAGCACCACTAGCAGCACAACGACAACAACAACTACGACAACTACAGCAGCACCACCCACGTCGGTGCCGACGGCTCAGCTAATCACCCATGGTGCACCACTGCTCATCGAGGCCAAGAAGCCACGTCGCCGCATCGATCCCAACATCGATATCAATTTCGCTAACATGGACAACCAGCAGAAGACAGCCAGCGCAACGGACGAGCTATCCAAGCTGCTGCAGAATCTGCAGGAGCTGGAGAAGCTGAAGATCAACCCAGAGAATGTGCTGAAGACAGCGAGTCCCGGCACTCAGGCGCTTAGCAATCGCTTTAGCGTCAGCGGCACCACCACCGCGCCATCCACAACAACCACGCGCAGCACCACCACCACGCCGGCCAACAACGATGCACGCGAACTGCAGCTCATTCTACGCCAGCTACAGCAGCTGGAACAGTCGAATGCCGTGCGCAAGCCCACAACCACCAGCACCACGGTGCGTCCGAAGCCGGCGCAGAGCTTCGGCTTGGGCTTGGGCTTCGATGCGGCTCAGGCGAACGGATTGGGAGCTGCTGATCTGCTGCAGCTGCAGCGCTTACTCAGCGACGACAGAGAGCTGGAGCGGCTCTACGAGCAAGCGCGCAACAGCAAAAAGGCGGGTAAGATCAGTGCCCCAGCAAAGTCGACGACGACATCGACGACGACAACGACGACGACAACGACTACGCCGCGTCCCACCAAGGCGTCCGCCGCCGTGGATCATGCACAGTTTGAGGCATTGATAACGCGTGTGCAGCAACTGGAGCAGCTGCAGCAGCCAAAGCCGACCACGCCGGGCTTCAGCACACGTAATGTGGCCGCCCATGGATTGGCAGCTAGCCTGAGCCTGCCCAGCAACGACTATGCACAGCTGCAGCAGCTGGCGGGCACACAGCTAGCCTACGAACAGGATCTGGGACAGGTGGAGATCTCGACGGCTGCCTCAACGGGCAAGCAGCGACAGCGACCGCTCAACAGCTTCGAGCGTAGCAACGGCCTGCTGCAGGACGTGCAGCCGCAGGACTATGTGCAGCTGCAGAAGCTGCTCAGCAAGGTGCAAGAGCTGGAGCGTGTGCAGCTGCAGGAGGCGCGCCCAACCACCAGTCATCAGCTGGTCACAGCCGCCTCCGTACGCACCCAGAACGTGAAGAGCTTGAGCGGCGCACAGATTGTCTATGCGCAGCCGGCGGCGATGTCCGATTCCGAGATGAATCCCAAACTGGAGCTGCCAGTGTATAAGCAGCCGGCCACGGCGAACACAACCCCAATGCCAAGTGCAGCACACGACCTCAGCTCTAGCGAGGAGCTGCGTGAATTTGCAATGTCGCAGCCGGCCAATCCGCAAATGAACCACAATCAGGGGCAAAATCAGGACCAGCAGGATTACAAGCAGTTCCAGCAGTTCTTCAGCAGCCTGGAGGACAATGGCGAGCGTCAGAGCTATCAGCATATGCAGCCCATTTATAAGACGGTGACGCCAGCGCCGGCAGCGATTAGCCGACCTCAGCAGCCAGTGGCACAGACGGCAGCACCTGCACCACCAACGACACGACCGACGCCAAAGCAATCCGATTTGGCGGAGCTGCAAAAGTTGCTGTACAATACGCAGCAGCTGCAGAAACTGGGCGTGGCGCTACCCAATGAGCTATCCCAGCAGCTGGAGAGTCAATTCCAACCCAGCAGCAGCAGCACCACCACCACTACGACTAGCAGCACGACATCAACAACCACAACAACGCCTCCACCACCCGCATCTCCATCACCCACGCACGACTCATCCTCGCCAGCGGTATTCTCGCTGACCACCAGTAAGCCAGCATCGCCACGTCCTCCACGACCCAATCCCACCACCGAGAGCAGCGTGGAGCTGCCCGTGTTCAGTGCCACAAAGATTATTGAGGCGGCCATTAAGCGGGCGGCGAATCGCATTGGCGTGTCCACGGAGCAGCCAATGAGTCTGGCTGCGGGCGTCGGCTTTCGGCGACGCAGCGATGACGACATGGACTTGGCCGCAGAGGATGAGCAGGATGGCGTGCTCGATGGCGATTTGATGGCCGAGTTCAGTGAGCTCAACTATCAGCTGGCCAAGCCCGAGCCGCAAGCCGAGGCCCGAGAGCAAGTGGAACTGGGTGACAATCTTGGCGAGCTGCAGCGTCTCATCAGCAACCTGCAGCAGCTGCAGCAGCTCAACGTGAGCCTGGGCCAGACGAGACCAGCTGCGTCGCTGCCAAGTCAAACGCAATCGCAGTTGGATGCCAACTATCTGCAGTCGCTGCCACCGGGCGTCGATAGTTTCAAGCCACGCAGACAGAGCGAGGACAACAGCAGCAGCACCACCTCAACCACTACTAGCACCACCATCACAACTCCAGTTGAGTCGAATGATTCAGTTACAACGCAATCGCCCACACGCATTAGCCTGGATCTAGGTCTAGGGGATGCCGACACCGCCTCGCTATCGGTTGGCGATGGAGATTTAGCCACAAGCAGCACCACTGAGTCGAGCAGCTCGTCGACCACAGAGGAGTCACGCAATGGCTCGCTGGATGATCTGGCCAATTCGTTTGGGCCCGATCCGGTTGCACAGGAGCCGCCACCACCCAAAAAAAAGAATGGCTTTTATTTTCTAGCCGATTGGAATTCGTTCCTTGAAGTCGGCGATGGCGACGATCAGGTGGTGGTGCGTCTCAGTCCCAAAATTGGCGATCCCCGCGACTTTCTGGCCGTCTAGGCTGGCAGGTGCCAATTAGCTGGCCGTGTATATAGTTCTTACCTATACCGTTAACCATAAACATATAAAATCTCTATCGTTATTGTGTGAGCGTTGTATTTATTTTAGTCACTGGTTTTTTTTTGTATCCTCCGCCGCCTAAGGACCTGTATGCGGGTCGTAGTCATAAGTTGGGGCCTAAGCCTAAGTTCTAAGAGTCAATAACAAATGAAAAATAAAAAGAGAAGCGAAGGAATCTAAAATTATTAAATAAGATCAAATATTATATTAAATATTCTAGTTTAATAAAGATGTGAAACTCCAATTGAATCTGTTTAAATACCCTGAACCTGTCGGAAATGGAAGTCCATTCGTCCGTCAGAAGAAGGCGTGACAGACTCTATAAAGTATATACATTCCTAGTCGATCTTGCCACGCCCGTCCGAGAGTCTGTCCGTCTGTCCGTCCGATTGTCCATCCATCCGCCCGACAGTCTGTCCATCCATCCATCCGTCAGAAGAAGGCGTGACAGACTCTATAAAGTATAAATATTCATGATCAGGACAACGACCTTAGTCGATGTAACCACGTCTGCCCATCCGTCCGTCCGTCTGTCCATCCGTCCGTTTGTTTCCTTGCCGTCTGTCTGTATAGCACATACTGGAACTGTGCATATGCATGAGTAGGTCTCGGGGCATTTCCTGGTGGAGCCTAGTTGAGTTTAAATTGAGCACTTGCTTGGGTTACTCCGTCATTCCGCAGATCTTCCAAGTTAGCACCGATTTAACAATCATTGACGTTTAATGCCTTACACCGGAGCTTGACGTCTCTCTCATTCAACTGAAAAACTCGTACAGTTCGCAACAAACAATTTTTACAAAAAAAAAACGTGTAGTTCAATAATTTTAAGAAGTTTTATTTATTTTATTGCCATTGGTTTTGTGGCTTTTATTATTTATATTTTAAAATCTTTGAAATGAAGTGCAGTGAATTGCCCGATGAAGTTCCCAACGCTATTTGCGGCGATAATGTCCTGCTCTTTGTTCGCAGACAGCTAGAGCCAGTGTCGTACAAAAAAGTTATCGCCCACTTTTGTGACGCGCTAGACTCGGAATCGAAGCAGGTGGAGGCAAAGTCACTGCTTAATAGGGTGCTGGTCAAGTCGATCAACTCTGGCGCTATAATGCATTGCAATAATTACTTCTTCGCTGGCAGCCATGCGGAGGACATGGAAGGAGTGATCGATATATGTCAGTCGGAGGACATGTCGCCAGATGCTAGCTCCATTTCGTTAACCAGCTGCGAGAGCATGGCCTCGGCAGATATCGCTCAAAATGATATATTCACCGATGCGAACGATCGAAGTGAGGCTATAGAAGGGGTTACTTCTGAAAATCATAATCAAATGCCCGTTTTGCAATTAGGAGATAAGTCCAAAGCCGAGATCATGCATTGCGTTTCCCTAAAGTCATCAGTCGCACTGAAACGTCGGCCAGATATCTCGACAAAAAAGATCGTAGAATAATTTTTTTTTAGCTACTTCGTTTGCCTGGCTTGCTACATTGGTAAAAGAATTTACAATACATCTCAATGCTGGGCACAAGAAACGAAATTTTATGTTTATACTAAATTAAAATGGAATATGTCGTGAAAATAAATTATGTATAAAATGTATAAAAATAAGAATTTCCTGCTCGCCATTCCCTCTTTTCCATTCTAGAAGCGATCGATATTGATTGCTAGTGAGTTCGGTTACTGGGATCTAGTTAAGCGGCCACTGATTGCCGAATGTCCGACAGATATTCCAGATGTTAAAACTACGTAATAATATGGCCACAATCGTAGTTAATTTCATTTATTTTTGAGCAACTCGATGATTCAATATGAAGGGGTAATCGGTGCTAGGTCAGGTGTACCAAACATCACTGCTTCGAGTCAACAAAAACTGAATTCAAATATAGCTGAACATAGTCAGCCCGGCAATTGAAGTCAGGCGATCGTAAGGTAGCCAAATAGTTAGCTCTGCACTTTCATTATATTTAGTTTTGTCAACCATTCAAGTGCTTGGAGAAGAAATTTTAATGTCTTTTTTTTTTTTGAACAAACATATACCAACTTCTTAAATAGTGAAAAGTTATTTTTTTGGTAATTTTTAATTAAAATGGGTGTGGGTCGTTCGAAGCCCGTGTCTGCGGAAGAGAACAATCGCGCATATACGCTATTCTTGGAGAAATTTAAGAATACCCATTCCTATCTGAGCGAACAAGAAATTGAGCAGAATGCTGTTATGACATGGGATACAATGTCGCCCGAGCAGAAGAGCCAATTCCTAGTGAGTTTATATTTACATGACGTGAGATGCGATGACAATATTTAATCGCTCGTTAGAATCTGGGGGAGCCGGCTCGTGCTTATATCAAAAAAGAGTACTTGCCCACCAGCACAACAAAGCGCAACAGGACAGTTTCTACTGGGAAAGCTAGATCGAAAGCGAAGCCGAAGACCAAGCTAAAAGCATCTGCAATGAGCAGGAAATCGACAAAGGTTTCAAAGAAATCGCAAAAGGCAATCAGTTCGAATGTAAAAGGAAAGGTACTGAATTTATCATATTGCAAAAAAAATGCATTTCGTAACTTTATACGCGAATTTCAAAGGCGGAACAACGACTTGGACAAGGCGACCGCCGTCAAGCTAGGCGCGAAGGCATGGTGCCTTCTATACGAAGAAGAGAGAGACCTACTGAAAGAACTAGTATGTTGATATCCACCTCGGTATGACACTAACAATATTCTTATTCCCAATGTGTAGGTTTCCACGAATGATAAGCTCAATGATTTAACTTATGCACCGAGAAATGACCAATTTCTATATAGAATTTAATATGGCCACTAAATCACTAAAATGTATTTTTGTTTTAGCCTTAGACTTATATATATATATATATATACATACATACATATAAATGTTTATATACATATAGATATATATACGTACATACACTGACACATTTGAAGTAATTATATAAATATATAATAATTATTAATACGTAATACAATATACAAGAATTGCTTAGTTACAATGAAGCCATGGCTCAAAGTATCCCGGCATAACTAGCTCATAAAAGGCTATGCGCCGTGTCTGAACCACGGCTAATAAATAGAGCGCGCCCGGTGAGCGCTGTAATGGCAGGCGAAGAGCTAGCAGCTGCAGAACATCCGGTTGCAATGTTTCCTCATCTGCCTCGGTATGGAACTGGGTGAACGGTACGAAACCTTGAATGCCTCGATAAATAAAGACACGCACAAAACAACAACCCTCAACAAAGGCCAACAGCGTCTCGTCGCGCACGCGCAGAGCTGTCAACTGACGTGCCATAAGATCGGCCGCTAATGACTGGAATAGGGTTCCATTGGCATAATGCAGCTGGACGTGAGCGGTTGGCGCTGTGGATGGGGCAATAGGCGACGCATCTTCAGCAATTGTGGTAAGGCGGGCGTAGAGTAACCGTGCCTTCTGCGCAGGACCCACAAGTAAACGAATTGTTTCAACGGGTTCCCATTGTTGTTTCGGATGTGGCAGTATGGCCAGCGCACTGCTCGTCTCCGCTGTGTTTAGGTCCAACTGTTGGGATTCCTGTATCTGCTCTTGTAGCTCACGCAATCGTTCAATCACCGCGTGTAGTCGCATGGTGTCTTCCTCTGCATTGTCAATTTCCTCGTGGCTGTCAGCGTTGGCCAGTAGCAATACATCTCTTATTGTGTTTGCCAGATAGGGACCAAGAGCGCGCTGCTCCTGTAGCCCCTGGCTATCGTTGGTCGATAGACGTGAACGTAGAGCATTAAGCTCCTCTACCACAGTCCAAATCAGTTGCGCACTGCGCGCGGCTAAAACGCGAGCCGGACTATTCGGCAATGGCAGCGTGTCTGTTGGCAGCAAGGCAAATGCCTTACTACCAGACCTAGAAGCAAGCCGCAGTTGTCGCATTAAACGTAGAAAGTCCTCCACAAGATGCTCGTCATCGTAGAGATCGCTCTCGGGTATGCTCAGCTGCGTGATATTCACCTCGGTTTGTAGACGAAAACTGAGATGCTGTAGCAGGCGCTGTTCCAACGTCTCGTACTGTTCCTGGCTAAGTGCGTGAATTCCTTCGAGATGTGGTTGCAAGTGTGATTCTGCGATGGGCCGGTTTAGGTACTTAATGGCGTCCTGATAGCTTGGCCCACGCCTTTGCTGCTGTGCCTCATGCTTCTGCTGTAGCTGCTGTAGCTTGCTAGCTGGCACCCCCATTGGTTCAATATCAACCTCGGTGCTGGTGCGCCAGCTTTGCAGATTTGCTAGGCTGCTACAGTTCCATCTGTGTTCTAATTGCTCATCGTTCACCTCGTAACTGGTCATGAAACTGAACTGGTCATTGTTGTTGGCACTAGCGTTGCGCAATTGAAGCACAGTAACATCATCAACAGGTCCACTCTCGAAGCTGCCAGCATTTATATACTGATTGCCGTCCCAGCGATAGATGCGCGTCCAGCAGCCTATTTTGTTTAGCAATAAATAGCTCGCACCGTGTGGCGCCGATTGTAGCGCAAAAACACGTCGTATATCAGCTTGACCTGAAGCCTGTTGTAATGCGAAGCTTCGACGTAGCTGGGTTACCTGGTAGGGCAAACGAAGTAGACCAAAAAGCCTAGACAGCCGCTTGCATAGTTGTTGATAGCGTTCTGCCCATTCACTCTGCCGCCGATAAATTTCATGAGCTGACTGCTCTGATACCGACTGTTTGACACGCAGCCAACGTACGCTCCAATTGCCACTAATAATTTGAGTTGCCCGACCTTGCGCCCACAGGCTCTTCTCATGCCACGCACTGAAGTTAAATCCATTTATGTGCATGTCCGTGCGCAACTCCGGCACATGAAGCTGGGCGAAATTGAGCGGCGTTTGCAGACACAGTTGCTCCTCATGCAACGTGGCCACATCACTTAAATTAAAATTAGGATCGCCGTTGATGGGCGCGCTGGCAAACAATGAACCAGTAACATCCATGGATTGCATTACTAATGGCGTGGTCACACGCTGCGGCTGCGGCGCCGTAGTCTGAAACCAAAGATAAAGAGCTACAGCTAAATTTCCAAGATATCAGCTAGCTTACCAGCAAGGTGTTGGCATATTCCATCGACAAATTGCGTCCATTCACACGCCCATCTAGCTGTACATGTCCATCAGCCAGATGTAGCTCTTTGGCAACCAGTGGAAAGCTGAGATTTTGCTGAGTGTGCAGAGTAACTACATTGTCCAAGTTTATTTTATTTAACTGGCCAACAAGCAGCGCATTGTTGTCCAAAGCACCCTTAGCGAAACTAACAGGAGCTGTAGGTTGCATAGCACTGAACTGATTAGATGTGTACATATTTAGTTTACGGCATTGAACTTACTGTTCGCTTGCCAGTTACGATCCACGCGCAGCGTATCATGAATCCACTCACTGATATTGCAGCCGTTGAGAAGTTCACCCTGCAACACCAATTGTTCTAACTGCAATTCGTTCATCTCTACAGGAGCTTCGAAGTGCACCGGCGACTGCAGTGTCACCTCGCGGCGTTCTACGGTACCATCAATGAAGATAATCTGCTGCAATAGCTGCTCAACCTTGATGCCATTCAGTTCGATAATGTGAGCGCCACCTTGAATATTAACGCGTCCCGTAAATACTTTGTGACCCTCAATACGCAATTGCGGCTGTCGCTTGTTGATCACATCAGCAAAGAATTCCTGCAATGGTTCTGAACTGCGATTACCCAAGTGACCTAGAACCGTCAGCTCCTGTAGATGTTTTTGCGACGGTAAGCGAATCAGACCACGATGTACAAAAGCACCTATCTGCTTATCAAAGCGCAATTGCTTTTCCAGCTTTTCAACTGACTCTCCGTTCAGATCTCCCCTCAACTGTAAGTCGTCGACATACAGCCGTCCGTCCAGACGGAGCTGGCCATCAAACTCTAATGGTTGCAAACTATTGGCCAGACGATCGACGGGCACACCGTTTAGTGCCTGCAGCTGTAGAGTATCCAGAACAACCACAGAGCCTGCAAAGCTCTTGGTGCCCACAATGAGCAGCTCTTGCTCCGGATCGGAGCGAAATACAATATCGTTGAGTAGTTCGGGTAGCAATCGTTCGTTGTAACTACCTTGGAGATATACATCACTGGCAAATATGGGTGCTTGCTGGAAGCGCCAGCGCGTGCCTAACTTATTGGGTCGATCCAGCCAGACAACATCGCGCTGTAGCTGCGCCATATTTCGGCCGTTTAGCGTGTCATCTACAAGCACAGCTCCACTAACCGCAATCTGTTCAACCTGCAGCTGTCCATGAAGAATAAGTAGGGGCAGCTCATCCAACTGACGCAGAAAACCCAAAAGCAGTTCGGCATTTATACCCTGAAGCTGCGATGCTTGCACGCCCATGGGCAAAATCAGCTCTTGTACCTGTACAGTGTCAACGCTTGGCGGTCTTGAGAACAGCTCGCTAAGATTGTGTCCATTTAGGTGGCCAGCACCTAGTACACTATCCGCAACATCCAGCTGTTCTGCCTGGAGGCGTTCAAAGCTCGCTTGACTGAGGTACAGTGGCTCATGTAAGGTATGATAACCGCTAGAGAGCGGCACGCTGTTCAACATGTGTGTCACGTGCAGTTCTGCCAATTGAGGCTCGTTGGCGAAATGGAGTCGTGTAGTTGGCGCCTGAAGTGGTGCATCCACACGCAACGCTTGGGCCATCAGCTGCTCCAGCTGAACGCCATCGTAGTCACCACTGAGCTGTAGCTGATGGAAATATATATAACCATTCAGACTGCTCATATTGTGAAGAGTTTGTTCCGTGTGTTTGGTTACAAATCGCTCAATGGGAATTTTGTTCAATGTACCATCCAAAACATGAGTATCCATTGGCAATGCCAGGTGCTGCACGTGCTTGGATCCTCCTATAAGCAGCTCGTCATTGGGATCAACAGGACGCTGCGCCAGATCACCCAACAGCTCATCAAAACTGTTATTATCTAGCAAGCCACGCAGATGCAAGGGCCCATTGACAATCAGTTCGACAAAGTGACAGGCGGCTGAAATGCGATGCGAGTCAGTTAACATAGAATTTAGAGGCGCCTCCTCAAATTGACGTCCTTGGGCACTGCCATTTAGCTACCAAATAAAGAAGCAATAATAAGTAACAGAATATTGTATTACGCTTGCAAGCACCTCAAGCTGTTCTGAAACTTCCAGCTGTGTAAAGGTAACCAACCCTGGCCAATCCTGTGCATCGCTTAATGTAATTGCATCGGTGGGATCGCATCCATTAATAGTGCCAGGAATGTCCACCATATTTGCAGCTAAAAGAGGATTTCAATAGATCAGCAAATATTCCGACTATAACCAGCTGCATAGCCTACACAACGTTTGAGTAAACTGTTTGGGTGAATGAACGATAGTTGTGGAGGTGCCCTGTGACCAGAGATAGTCCCCAGGAAAGTTCAGCTCATTAAGCGCACTCAAATGCAGTGAATCCTCAAAGACAACAGCCTAAAACGAGAGGAAAATATGTTATGAACGCTTGTAGCTATAACTGCTAAACTAAGATCAGCTTACGCCTGCCACCCGCAGCTGCGAAAGCTGCAGCGGTTCTTGACGCCAGACCAACTGCTGAATGAATCGATTCCACTCCAGACCATTGATAAATTCGAAGCGTAAATCGGCGTCCAGTTCCAGGTGTTGTTGAGTGCTTGAGGGTAAGGATTCGGCTTGCTCAATTGGCTGCGGTCGCATCAGATCCAGGAGCTGCGTATTGATCGAACCGTTGAACTCTAGTGTGGCATTCTGTACGTAGAAGGGCACATGGTTCAGCTTATCGATATACAGCTCCTGAACTTCAACAATATCGAATTCCAGTTTCTCATAAGCATAGCGAAAGAGTTGCGGCTGACGCTTAATACGTCCTCCAACCATTCCTTGGATTTGTTGCGTTAGCTGGCGTATCTGCTGCAACAGCTCATACAGATCCACGGCAGAATCTTGCATCGTCCACGGTATTCCATTGACGTGCAGCGCATCCAAGGTGGCACCTTCATTGATAAGCACCGGCGTGTTTATCACCTCGTAGTGGATTAGCTCTGGCTCTGCATGATGCTCCGCTTGCAACAGATGCTCGGCCAGCTCAATTAGCTTGTCCTGCTCATCTACCCACTGCTTCATGAAGTCGTGTATTTCCTGAAGGTCGTGCAGCTCCGAGTTTCGAGGCAGCAATTGAGTGTGTAGTCGAAATAGTCCCGAAGGCGCCGCTTGTCGTGGCACCAGCAACAAAGGCGGCTGCATGTGACGTAGCAGTACCGATCCTGTCAAGCCGGCATCACGCTGCTCGTCCAGCATACATCCGGCACCATAGCGTGTATGTGTGCCGAGCTCACAGGGCGCCGGCAAGCTAGCCTCAAATGCCTCACCATTCCAAACAAGCACCTCCAACTGGATCAGCGTATGTGTGTCGAAAAACACACGATGCTGCACCAGCAGCAGCAGATCATCCCTATAGGTGCGCACGGGCACCGGTAGAAATAGCTCGACCAGTCCAAAATTTTGACCAAGCAATGTCCTTGGCACCAGCTGGCCCTGCACATAGGCAAGAATCTGTGGTTGCAGGCCGCCCAAGGCCAGGTAGCTGTGTCCTCCCATTTGGAAGGCGGCTATGTCCGCAACCTTAGGTGCATCCACACGTTGCCGCAGCTGCAGCTGTAAGCCTGCATCTGGAGCAAGCTCGCGCATGTTGTGCGCATAGATGAGCGCCTCATCCAACTGACCCACTGCGAGCAGCAAATCTCGGCCCGTATCCTGCACCGCCAGTGCGGTTATAGGCTGCTCCAACTGCAGTCGCTGCACAATCCAGAACTCCAATCCATCCACATCATAAGCATAAATGCTGAGCGTATGATTCCGCATTAGTGCCAAATATTCACGGTTCTCTACAACAAAAGGCAGCATCTTGTCGATGTTGCTACCCAGCGGCCAGTGCCAAAACTGTGTCAGACCCATATCCGCTTCTAGACGGTACCAGAGCAACTGTTGCTCGGTGGCCAGCAGCACCAAGCTCTCCTGCCACTGTGCCTGTGGGTTCCAGCGCTCATAGCTGAGCAGCGCATCAATGCCCGCCGGCACTAACAATGGCTGGAGTGGAGCATAACCACGAAAATGGGCACCTTCGGATAGAGCTTGTTGCTGAAACATTAACACATCATTGCTACGACGACCCATTAAGAAGACGGTGCCATTCTGCTGAAGTTGTAGCCAATGCGACACATCAGCTCCAAGCGTAAACTGTAGATCCTCCTCAATGCGGCTGAGCACAAGCATTTCGCGCGTGCGACGTTTGGACAGTTCCAGCTGTTGTAGCTGTGCCAAATCAATGTCCAATGGTGTGGCATCCACAACATTAGCCTGATTGGGAGCCGACTCCTGACTGCTGCCTAGCATCTCATTGCGGGCACTGCCCACAACCGTTTGTTGCTTAGCGGCATCTGTTTTGGCTTTAATAGCTGCCTCCAGCTTGACAACTTCGTCTGTATGGCCCTGGTTCACGACTGATTGAGTGATCTCTACACGCAGAGCCTCCGCTTCTCTCAATGTGGACTCGTTGACTATAACCTTGCTGATCGGGGTATTAGTATTACCTTTTTTGGTCCACTCTGGCTGCACTATGACACCCTCCTATAGAGAACATACAAATGATCTCAACGAAGCTTAAGTGTCGGTTTTTCTACATACCGGTGCCTCTTCTCCTGCCTCGAAGGCGGCATTGAGTTCACTGCGCAACTTATGAACCTGGTCACGCTGCCTTGCCGTATATATGGATTTTGGGGCATCCTTAGCTTTTTGGCCGCTGCTGTTGCATACCGCGCACAGCATCAGGCATAACATCCAATTCATCTTCTTTGCTTTAACTTCGTTATCAGCTTTTAACACAAATTACACAAATCACAATATTAACAATTAACACGTGAGCAACACATTTTTTCCATATTTACAAAATTAACCGTTGCTTCCCTAAGTTGCCACTCAAGACATTTCGCCAAAGTCTGGCAGCACCGCAAACAAAGAAGAATATTCATAATTGAGCTTTCGGTCATTTTTTAATGTAGTTTTGTTTATTTTAATAGTAACATATATAAGTAAGCTCTTTAAAAATATTTTAAATATTAACCGACCAAAATGATCGGATGTGCTCAGCACAAAAGGCTGCTCCTGTTTTTTTCGTATTTAGCTGAGACACAAACCACTTTTACCAGCTAATTTAAACGCTATAGAATCAATGTTTTCATATGGGCTATTTTATTATTATTATGGCGAATCTTCGAACAACCTTCGATCTTCGAATTGTAGTTATGTATTTTCGAACTGATATCGTTCCCATCAAACAAAACTATCGATTGGCATTCAAGAATTCAAAAAACTACATTTTGAATAATTTTCGAAATATTGTTCTGAATTTTCATAAATCAAAAAATTGGCTGTACTTTTTTATAATTCTTTTATATACTCATATATACATATATATATTGTCACGCCGGCGTTCCCAATGATAATCAGACAATGCCCCTGTACTACGCGGGGCATCACTTGAAGCTTGAAGCTTTACTTTCTGGTAGCTTATTATTAATTTAATAATTGAATCAACTGATTGGCGAATATTGCTTATGCGTAACTTCTTATCAAGCTATATAAACAGGCATGTGTATACGAATTTATTTTTTGATGCCAAATTTAATGAGTTATGTCTGATTCTGTGAACTATAAACAGCGACAAACGAATGACTCGGACCTGCTTCAGATTCAGATTGAGCCACATGTTGCGTATGGCCGTTTGGCATCGACGTAAGCACCACATGACACTTGGCCTGCAGCGGACAGCGGTTGGCAGGCGGGAACTATGGGAATGAGTGAAGTGGTGCGCTCCTCTGTTCCTCTGCCGACCGACTGTTGCTATCAGCTACGCAGATCTCTCACAAATACTCGCACATAAGCACAAGCACAAACACTCACACGCACACACCTACACACACAGCAATAGCTGACTGGCTGAGAGGGATTATTTGCAGCAAAGGTAGCAGCCGGTCGAGCGCGCGCGCTCTCTCTCTCTCTCTCTGTCTCTCACTATAGTTCACCGTCGGTCGAGTGCTCTCTGCGCCTCTCTCAGCGTTCAAGTTGGGCCATCGGAACACCGGGCGCCGACTCAGCCTGCTCATTCGGTTAGTTCTTCAACGGAATTCAACGTTTTTTGACGTTTGTTCTTGTTGCACACACGCACACACACGCGCACGCACACAGCCGCACATAGAGCGTGGTGGTGGTTCAGGCACCGAAAGCGAACCAACGAGCCACAAAAAGAAAATACATTTTCTTTTCATGGTAATTGTTAAATACATCTGCAAAAGACAGTGATCTTAAGATAAAATAATATTTTGTCTATAATAAAAAGTAAAGTAAGACAACTTAAAAGAAAATACTTAATGTGCACTGAGCAAGTTTTTGCTTAATATTTCTAAGTTTTGTGGCTCTCGACCTTTGCGAACTTAACGTCGTAACAGCGACAACAACAGCTAAAAATAATTAAACAGCGCATGTTTCACTAACTACACGAATGTATGTGTGTGTGTGTGTGTGTGTGTGTGTGTGTGTGTGAGTGCGAGTTGTCTTTGCTGCGGTTCAAGTTGAAAGCCCAACACATTAATTGCCCCAACGCCGTCTAATTGTCAACAGTTAAACAAGTTGTTGTTACATTTGCTGCTGTTGTTAAATTCTGCTGTTGCTGTGTTTGCCAGTTGTAAATTATTCATATCAAACTGTTTGGCCTGCAAAAACATTTTCGAATTCGCATTTTTGCTCGTGTACCGCGCGCGCGCATCGCTCTTTTTTTTGTGTGTGTTCCTGTGTGTGTGTGTGTGTGTGGCTGTGTCTCAAAGTCTCACATTTCCTGCACAGCGCCGGGCACGTCTCCACCATCGTCGCTGTCTCCACCATCGCCACACAGACAAACTGAAACAAAAGCCGCTGAGCTTGAGAAGTGTCGCCACGCAACGCGGCGCTGCGCAACGCGACACTGACACTGCCCCAGACTCAGACTCAGAGTCAGAGCCAGAGCCAGAGCCGGAGACGCTGACAGTGGCACTTGTTTGTCCGTCCGGTCGTCGCTCCTTAACTGTCTCCGTCTCGGCTTTCGCGTGTGCAAAATTGCTCGAAATAATCATCGATCGTATTTGCTGGCACTGCAAAAGGCGAGCCACTGGCAGCGTTTACTGTAGCAACAGGTGAGGTGAGTGCTGCAATGCTGATTCGTTTGCATTGAACTCAAGAGAACCCAAAGTAGTTTATGTAGCGCTTAAAGTATCTTACTGGGACGATAAGATACAGAGCGACGTCTTACGTTTTCGACTTTGATCTTAATACACTGTCTTGCGAATAGATTCTGATCTACAACATTCAGTTATGCTTAAAATAAGGTCACCAAATTCCTACGTTTTCCCCATACGTAGAACCTTCATCCAAATTTCTACAAATATCTTAAGACTTCACCTAGGAATTGGGTCTGCAGTTTCAAGTATCGTAAGCGAAATTATAGAAGAGATAAAACTAATCCGAAGCAAAAGGCTCTAGTCGAACGTGCATGACTACAGAATACCCTGTAGCACAGACTTGTCTACTTCTGAAAGATATATGAATATTTGATATCGATTTTATAGCAAGTAGAAAAAGTGATCGCTATCTGAAAATCAACTCCAAATAGGGAACGTTTAGGAAAGTCCACTTTGCTAGTTACAACACCAATATACCCGTTTCACCCATTTTCAATGGGCATATTAATTAAATGAAACTTTTATCTGCCGTAAACATAATGTCCGATTTATCCAGCGACTGTCGGTTGCATAATTCAATACATTGGTTAAGAGTTAAGAGCGTTTAAACGGAAAATGACCGCTTCACTATAAACACCTGCCAAGGTGAGTCAGTAGAGGACTGTGTGTGTGCGAGAGAGTGTGTGAGAGCGAGTGAGAGAGAGAGCGAGAGAGAGAGAGAGAGCGGATGGGTCGCACAGGTGAGTGAAGGCCATTAGGCCGTAAGGTGTGCCAAATACATGTGCGTATTTGTTTCATGCTTCTTCTTCTCCCTCTGCTTGTGAACATTTCAAATTGCTAACTAAACAAACTCGAGCCACAGCACAAGCTAAAAGGCAACAGAACCCAACTCGAAGCATATGGAACACAATGCTCGCTCGTCAGCTTTCTTTCTTTTCTGTAGACCAAATAGTTTTCTGAGCTGTTTGTTTATTTAATTAGCATTTATGTGCGGCCAAGGAGGTGTGTGTGTGTGTGCCGCATAGAGTGCGGCCGGGCAAACATGAAAGCAAACAAAAACAGAATGAGAAAAAAAAAAAAAAACTACAAAATCTCAGCGACGTTTTTAGTAAGGTGCACCACCCTGCACCACTTTGCTCAGCCGGCATGTGTCCATCTTAACGGGCGACAAAATCAATTGACGCTCGTACAATGTCCAATTTATAGGCTGCACCGAGCGCTGGGCAGCTAAAATTAGATGCTAGCCAGCTGGCAGTCGTTTATTTTCAATCTGAGCTTCATCTCCAAGCAGCTGTGTAGCTGGAGAGTCTGTGTAAATATGTCGTATCTGAGTATCCCATAGTAACTGAGTATCCATAGTATCTGAGTATCTGTTGCTCTCTGCTGACTGCTGTGCGTGTGTTCGGACGCTTCGAAGTGCACTAGAAACCACAAAAACCACCAACTAGACATTTGTGTATGTGTGTGTGTGCGTGTATGTGTGTGAGCATAGCAAACAATTCGTAGAAAATCTTTCATCAGCAATTGTATAAACTATAAAAAGTTCATTATACAATTTGTAATGTTGATTTTTAAACAATTAGAGCAGTGTAAACTATTAAGTGCCTCTTACTCATAGAGATATTATTAGAGATATTACTGTATGAAAAGCTTTAGGTGGAAGGAAGGAGAGCTGCAAGTCGAAGTGGAGGCAGAAAAGTTCAACATATTGATTCAAGTTTCAGAATCATTCAAATTATATATGCCCTATAGTGCAGGGTATGCGTTGGGGGTCGATGAGGCGGCGCTGGTGCAATTTGCCATGGGCCACGCGCCAGTGAAAGCGAGATCCAATTGAACTTTATTTAAATTACAATTGCTTAACGTTTCTTTTTTTTTAGCAGCGCTCCCCTATGCCCATTAGCCTGAACCGTGGACTCCCCCGCAACACAAGCGTCCAACACAATGCTGCAGCACACGATGACGAAGCGCAAAACGCTAATCATTGCCTGCTTTGGCATTGCACTGGGCCTCTGCATTGGCACCGTCTTGAAAAACTATCGCGCCTTGGAGATTGTTAAGCGCTGCAGCATGCGGCCAACGAATCTCAAGTCGCCTAACGAAATTATTGGATTGAACGACGAGGACACCATACAGAACTCTCAGCGCAATTTGGTTTTCGTGGGCGTGATGACTGCCAAGAGCTTCATCGAGGGTCGTGCGCGTGCTGTGTACGATACGTGGGGCAAGGAGGTGCCCGGACGCATTGCGTTCTTCAGCTCGGAGGGCAGCTATTCGGATGAGCTGCCGGTGGTGGGACTTAAGAATGTCGACGATCGTTATCCGCCGCAGAAGAAGTCATTCATGATGCTTTACTATATGTTCGAGCATTATATTGATCGATTCGAGTGGTTCATCCGTGCGGATGATGACGTCTACATGGAGCCGGACAAGCTGGAGCGCTTCCTGCGCTCTATCGATAGCTCGAAGCCGCAGTTCATCGGACAGGCGGGCAAGGGTAATAGCGAGGAGTTCGGGCTGCTGTCCCTTGAATTCGATGAGAACTTTTGTATGGGTGGCCCCGGCGTAATACTCAGCAGCGAGACGCTGCGTCGTGTCGCGCCGCACATACCCACATGCCTAAAAAATCTATACAGCACTCACGAGGATGTTGAAGTGGGGCGATGCGTGCAAAAGTTTGCTGGCATACCCTGCACCTGGAACTACGAGGTGAGCTGAACGGAGCTAACTCGCAGCGATGCTTCTCTTACTTATGGTATCGCTCTCTCTCTCTCTCTCTCTATCTCTATCTCTCTCTCTCTCTCTCTAATTTCTTTATTGCAGATGCAGTACATTTTGCGTCACAATTCGAGCGGTCGCAACGCCTATACGGGCAAACTGAAACGCAAGGAAATACATAATGCCATCACGCTGCATCCCATCAAACAGGCGCCACTTATGTATCGCCTACACTCTTACATACAGGGCCTGAAGGCCGAGGAGCTGCGCCAGGAGTCGTTGCTGCTGCATCGCGACATCAAGCGCATGGCCAAATACTTGGATGTGCCCGACGATAGCACATATATGCTGCCAAGCGTCTCGCCAGGCGCCGTCCCAGAGAAAGACACTGGCAAACGACACTTTGAAGATCATAATATTCTGGGTAAGTTGAGTTCAAATATTGCGTTACGAAAATACGTTAAGTTACATTTGCAATAATCGGTTCACATATGAAACCAGTTCGAAATGTTGCGCAAGTGAACCAAGCCTAATTCAAATATCGATATCATTTGTAGTGGTTCAAGCAATCGATAGTTTAGAAAACGTTGTTTTTGAATACACAAAAGACAACACAGAAATTTACATTGTAAATAATTAAGATGAGCGCGCATGTGGATATTCCTAAGGGGGTGGCTCGCAGATTGTAACACCTTGGCCCAGGCAGGCTGCATATGCCATCAGATGTGGTAACAAATTTTGCTCCATGACGCCGCTAAAGAGATGACTCTGTGGCCCCAAAGCAAAGACAGCCACATCTTCGCCAGAATGCACGCCCTTTCCAAGTATATAGCTGGGCGTAAAGGATGCTAAACAAAAAAAATACATATATATATATATATATATATACCTAAGAATTTTCGGAAACTCTTAAATAAATAACATTGTTTACTTTTGCTTAGATGCGGTCCGGGACTCTCCCGTTTGCCTGCTTTGTTGAGGCTCTGCCACTTGCCGATGGCATAGTTGAGCGTGCTATAGGGTATGCCGTCTAAGTCGCGTTGGCTGAGATCCAAGCCTAATATGGATGTTCCTCGATTGGCATAGCCCGCCATGGTCAGCGTATGCGAATGATCCGCTGTGACAACAATGAGCGTTTCATTGGGATTGGTCAGACGCACAGCCATTTCGATGGCCTCATCGAGTTCAAGCATCTCATCTAGCGCATAGCCAGCACGTGTCTCATGATGTCCGTGATCGATGCGTCCGCCTTCTATAAACACAAAGTACCCTTGAGGCGCCTGCTCCAGCCGCTGAATGGCAGCCTCTGTCATGTCACGAAGACGCGGCTGTTCCCTGGATGCGGCCAAATGGTATGCCATGTGGCTATCACTGAAGACGCCCAACAGGCTGCCATTAGTGGCACTGCAGTCGTGCAGCTCAAGCAACGTGGTGGCAAAACAGCCGTCCGGATTCGCTGTCTGCCACTGTTTAAGCAAATCGCGTCCATCGCTGCGCTCGCTGGCAAACTTACCCAAGCCGCCGCCAAGTATTACGTTCAGATGACGTCCCGGTGCATCCTCGATCAGCTGGCGTGCTATGTCCAACTCCTGAGAACGTCTTTGTACGTGTGCATAGGCAGCTGCCGGACTAGCGTCCGTCAGTCGCGTGGTGGTGACAATCCCAGTTGCCTTGCCAGCGTCCTGAGCCCAATTCAGGATTGACTCAACCTTGACACCTTGAGCACTTTGCCCAATGCTGCCATAGTTGGTCTTTATGCCGGTCAGGCATGCCGTGGCCGCGCATGCCGAATCCGCTGTCTGGCTGTCCGTGCAGTATGTTTTACTTAGACCCGAATACGGGAACTGCTCCACGGCCAGTTGGCTCTCCTCGCCGCTATAGCCGGCCAGCTGGCCTTTAAGTATGCGTGCCGCGGTCAGCGTCGTAATGGATAAGCCATCTCCCATTAGCATTATAATGTTCCTGGCGACACGAATGTCGCCCCCACCCGCCTTTCGACTACGCAGCAGGCGCACATCCAGCTGCTGCTGCGCCTGGTCCATCCAATAGCTAGCATTACGTTCATCTTCTTTTGGTTCAGCTTGCCTTTCGGTACCATAAGCCACTGCAGCAAAGCAGTTTAATACCATGAGCAATGCCAGGCGGGGCAAGTTTGTTAGCCACATGCTTTACATATATATCGTGTTGAGTTAGTTGATTGTATAGAAATCTTAATGCAAATGTTGTCAAAAGTTTGTTAGCACATCTTCCATTCCAGCTATGCCTACCTTATGGGCTTTTGCATTCAGTTGCCTTTTCACACCATATTTACTCTCTGTATTAAAGCCCATACAAAACAGTTTTCTAATTGAATTTAAATTGCAGTTCAGCGGCAAATTGAAAAAATAATCGGTTTACTTATCGAAATGATTGTGATTTAAATTTGTGCCCGCTATCGAACTTGAACTAATGCAAATAAGTATATTAAGAAAAGCTATCGAATTTAATTTTATGTTATCGACTGTTGCAGGCATTAGCCCCGAGCTCAATAAATTTGTGCCCGCGAGCACAGCGGAGCTGCTGGATTGGTCCTTCATAGCGCGCAGCCTGTACTCGGCGGGCTCAGCGAATCCCAAGCAGAAAATTGACTCGGCGATGCGTGAAGGTCTCGAGGATGTCATAACGGAGGTAATGGAGAACATCAACTATTATTCGCGTCAACGTGGACGTGTCATTGAATTTCGTGAGCTGCTCTATGGTTACCATCGATTGGACGCATTGCATGGCCAAGATCTGATACTCGATCTGCTCTTGATCTACAAGAAGTATCGTGGCAAAAAAATGACAGTGACCGTGCGCCGACATCTCTACGTTCAGCGCGCCTTCACTGGCATTTTTGTCAAGGAGCTGGATGAAGACTTCTACAATGTGACCCTGCAGCAAAGTAAGTTCATATTTCGATTATGACTTTCGCTTGGTAATGACGGATTTTTTGATTGAAGGCTTGTCCTCTGCAGGTCTCCTCGGCAACCTGCTGCACAACGGCATGGCACGCCTGAGCAGCCACTTTACCATGGCCAGCAATCTGTTAACACCTCCACCGGACCATATTGTGTTCGTGCTACCTATTGCGGGTCGTCTGGCCACCTTTCGGCGCTTTCTGTCCATCTATGAACGTGTTTGCATTGTGGGCGCGCAGCACTGCGATCTGCTGGTTGTTATCTTCGGGCCGCCGGAAGAGCTGACCGATCATCTGCAGCAGCTTAACGAGTTACGGAGTCGCCATATCTACCAACAGATCAACTATATACAGCGCAGTGGACAGTTCTCGCGCGGCGTCGCCTTGGACATTGCCGCTCGCTCCTCGTACATACGGCAGCAAGACATTATTCTGTTCATTGATGTCGATATGGTGTTCAACGTGGAGACACTGCAGCGGGTACGCATGCATACGCAGCGTGGTCGACAGGTTTATCTGCCCATTGTGTTCAGCCAATACGATCCGAAGCGCCGGGATGGAGCCAGTGCCTCCGAAGAAGTTCCCATTAACGATGAGAATGGATACTTTAGGCAGTTTGGATTCGGCATTTGTGCCATATACAAGTCGGACATACTGGACGATGACATCAATGGCTTTGACAAGGACATAACGGGCTGGGGTCTGGAGGATGTGAAGTTTCTGGAGAAGATTGTGCGTGTGGGAACGCGCCAACATGGCTTTCTGTCCAACACGGCCGAGGTGCCGCTCGACTATAACGAGGCAGCCGAACAATGGCGACGCCTCAGCGTGTTTCGTGCCCCAGATCCGACGCTGGTGCATATCTATCATGACATTAGCTGCGACGTGCAGTTGGATCCGCCGCAGTACAATATGTGCCTGGGCACCAAGGCCAACTCGCTGGGCAGCACCCGTCTCATGGAGCAGCTGTTCTTCAACAATCGACAGAACATCGACTTTATTACCGAATTTAATCGACAGAAGCATCAGAGCAGATGATGCGTAGGCGCCACCTAAACCTTGGCATGTTCCACCATAGTATTATGCTTAAAGTTTCCTATCAGTGTGCGTGCGTGTGTGAATGTGTTTGCTAGCCAAAATGCCAAATGAATACTTTAGAAATGCTGCAGCCGAATGAATGAGAGCGAGTAAGCGACAAGTGAGGAGGTCAAGAGAGAGAGAGAGAGATAGGAAGATGTGGCACAATCATTGGGTATATTCGCTGTCTATCTTGATATCTATTGAAAACAACTTGTTCCTTAGGATAGTCTTTTTATTTTAAGTTCTATTCTTTTTATAATTTGTTTGTAAATAAGTTCGCGACGCATTTTCGGCCATCTGTTCCTACTTTAAAATAAGCCTAACTTATCTAAATTTTAATTTAAGTTCATGTCAATATTTGCATGATTATTTTCCTGACAATTTCTATTACATATATAGCGCTAAAGCTCTTGTTCCATTCAAAACTAAATACGATCCATATATATATATATACATATATTGTATGTCTTAGCATAGGCCCCTGGCCAGGACAACTAAATACATGTATTTATTGCAAAGAACATTTTATTGAAGCTGCCTTGTGCAGCATCAGCATAGTCGTAAGCCCTATTCATATATAGTTAATATTGTTGTTAAATTTACAAAAACATTTGTACATTAAATATACAAAAGGTTAAAACTGTCTGTGAGTCTTACATATAATCCACGGGCTGGATGCCCAGCAACGCCAGCGCTGCGTTTAGCACCTCTCGCACCGCCTTGACTAAATAGATGCGAGCATAGAGCACGGGCATCAGATTCGTTCGCTGCTGCACGAGTATTTGTTTGTTGCGATAGTAGCGACTGAATAAGCTAGCCAAGTCGACAATGTAGCGAACGAGCAAATGGACGGCGCACAGACCTTGATCGAGGTGAATTAGCGTTGACTCCACCACCTCCGGAAAGGTGAGCAAATACCCATAGATCAGCTGCCAGTCGAGCTGCATAAAAATATAGATAAACATTAGTAAATATACTCCTAGATATACGTGTAGGGGCAAACGCACCTCATCTTCAAGTACACTCAGATCGATTTTCTCTATGGGCGGCAAAGGTTCATAGACGCCCGCATCCACCTGTGCGGAAAAGGTGCGCAGTAATGTTTCGAGTCGTGCGGAATTGTACAGTATATAGTTGGCGCCCTTAGAGCTGCCCAAGCCATTGCGCACCACAGTGGCGCCCGTGCTATGTCGTACCTCGAACAGATCCACAATAACAGCCGCATGGCCAAGACGCTCCATCAGGCTCTCAAAGTTATTTCGCTTGGCACAGTCGCGCACGCCATGCCGATGCATGGCTATTAATAGCATGTCATTGGAGCGCAGTCTGCCACCGGCAATGCACATGAAAGTAAAACGTCTTAATAAAGTGGGTCGCTTACACTGCAGTGTCTACTTACGCCATGTAGCTGCCGCTGGTCAAAGTTGCGGCCGTCTTTTTGGTTGGCTCCAGCACTGGGCCGCACACCATGCGCACTATCTTCTTTTCCGGCAGGTCGATAGAGGTGCGACGTGGCAGATTGTTGCACTCGACGCTGACTACCAAAGTGTCATCTGTCTGATTCTGTGGCTCAACCAGACGCCAGTTGGCATACGCCAGCAGGCGACACACAATGAGATACAGCTGTTTGGCACGGAACTTATGCAGCTCTTTTGTGTTGCCCACTTCCAGGTCCGAAAAACGTTCGTTGAGCGTAAGGCAAAGACTAGGCGGCAAGATCGTCCCATCGTCCTCCAGATTTGAATGCTTACCGTAACTTTCGCCTTTTGTTAGTATGGAATTGAGGACATTGATAATGATGGGAGCACGATGGAAACGCAGCGCGAAGCGTTCCCTGTGCACCTTTTTGACAGATTGCAGCGGGAATATCCATTGTTTGCTTTGTTCCAGCAGATCCTCCTTTGACTTCTCATCGGGTAGCAGCTGCTCCGTTAGAATCCGCAACTGCAGTCCATGTTTCTGGCAAAAGCATTCCCAGTTTATCTTACTTGCCGCAATACTCAGATCACCACAATCGACGAGGTTCTCATTCTGATAGCGGATCAGCTCGCCGTAGCGCGTGGCACGTGCCGCATATGAGTCCTCTGGATAGCTTGCGAAATGGTTGATCAATTGGTGTGTTAGCTTGGTTAATGGGTTTTGCGACATGTCCATGTCGTATTTGAAGAAATTCAATCCAACCGTGAGACAAACGCCTTGAAATAATCCAGATTTTTTATAAAAGTATATTCAAGAACTTTACAGTCCTGTTCAAAACCCCCACAGTTTTAGTAATTAAATGACATCTCGCCGCCTGCTGTGAGTTTTCAAAATATTTAATTCTGCCTTGCTTATCGATAGCAATTCACAATAGTTGCAAGTGCAAACACATCTCTAGCAAAGTATATTGTTTATTCCATTGTTTTTTGGCTTATATGTATTAATATTTTCATACATTACGAAAGGCTTGAGTGCTCATAACATTTTTTCAAGTCTTTGTATCATTTAACAAACGGGAATACAAGAATTTGGAAAATTATCAAGTCATGACGTCACGAGTCATAGTTCATTGCTATATTCTTATCGATAGCAGCGCTTATCATCATCAGGAACGAACTATCAAGCTATCGATTGTGGTTGACAAGAACTAACAACAGAAAAGAGCAACACGCACAAAATAGACACACAAAATATAGTATCCATATTTGTATATGTTTCTATGTGTGTGAACGTGTGTGTGTGCGAGTCGGGACGTTATGTTTTTAGCATTCATAACAAACTTTAAGCCATGCCGCGTAATTTAGGCCCAAATTCGGGCCTTGTGGATCTAGGCGTTGTTTGTCTAATATGTTTGCGCGCCGAGCCCGGATATTGTTCAATTTATGGGCAGGATCTCGAGACTCCTCATATGCAAATTGTGGATAAAATACGCAGTTGCAGTGCATTGCAGCTAGAGAGGTCACTCCTCTCACAGTTGCCCGACAAGATCTGCCATGGATGTCGAAACGAGCTAAGCATCACCTATCGTTTCCAACAGAAATGCCTGGAGGCTCAAAAGGTATTCCAATCGGCAGCTTCGGCCACTCTTCTTGTGGATGTTGATAAACTGGAGCTGGAGCAAACGCAGCATCTCAAGTTGCCATCCAGTCTCAGAGTTAAGCGTCTCGGTGCTGAGCCAACCGCCAACAAAATTAAGTATTACCCAGATGAGGATGATCATAACGTTGATGAGATTGATGATGTTGATGATGTTGATGATGTTGATGAGGCTGATGATGTGGAGACGCTATCAATGATTCAGCCAGACAATGGAGCATCAGCTTTAGTGCTGCAGGATGTGACCACCATTGCCTCTGACACTGAGGACGACAAGATGATTGCACTGGACGTCGATTGGGCTGCAGAGCAAACGGAGCAGCTACAGCAGCAGCGACATTCTGAATCGGAGCAAGACAACGATATGGAGCTGGAGCAGGAGTTCGATCACGAGCAGGAATTGGAACCGGAGCAGGAACAGGAGCAGGAGCAGGACGAAGATGATGACTATAAGCTGCCCGATGAGGAGCACTTGCACACACAGACGACTTCGTGTGCTCCAGTCAACAACAACAACAGCAGCAACAGCAACAACTACAACAACTACAACAACTACAGCAACCACAACAATGGCAGCGGAAATGGAGACAACATAATCATCAATATCGGCGGGGTAGTGCGAAATCGCCGCACCACGGAGTCCAAGATCTGCGACATCTGCGGCAATACATACAAATATCAACACGCACTCAATGCTCATATGCGACGGCACAACAATGAGCGTCCGTATCCGTGCGAGGTGTGCCAGAAGGCATTCATTTCAAACGTGGAGCTGCGCCGGCACATGCGAGTCCATACCGGGCAAAAGCCGTACGGCTGCCATTACTGCGATCGCCGCTTCTCCGACTTTGGCAGCAGCAAGAAGCATGAACGCATTCACACCGGCGAACGGCCGTACATCTGCGAGGTGTGCAACAAGGGATTCGCCTATGCTCATGTGCTCTCCGTGCATCGGCGCATACACACGGGCAAAAAGCAGTTCCAGTGCACGCAGTGCGACAAGGGATTCACCAAGAAATCCTATCTCGCCACGCATCTAGCACAGCACCAGCCAGAGGTGGAGGTGGCAACGGCAACGTTACAGCGATTGCCTACGCGCAAGCGCCAGCAGCAACAAAAGCAGCAGCAGCAACAACAACAGCTGCAGCAGCAGCAGCAACAGCAACAGCAACAGCTGCAACAAAAACAACAGGAAGAGCAGCAGCTTCGAAGACAACAACAACAACAACAGCAGCAACATTTGCGTTACAACAGCGACTTGGCTGTTGGAGATGATGATTCCTATGATGATGACAATGTCAGCGTTGGCATTGGTATGACCAACCTAAACCAGGCGGGTGGTGAGCAGGCCAAGGTGCTGGAGGAGTGCATTGTCACGAATGATTTTATGTTCAACGATGATGATGCGGACGACACCGAGCAGAATCTGGACGATTATCATGATACGGAGCTGGACGATAGCGAATTTCAGAGCGTACAACACGTTAAGGTGCCGTACGGGCTTGTCAGCGATCTACTCGATGCCGACGAACTTGTCAGCGATACCAAATACTTGATGGAATAGTACCCCTACCCCCCGACTCCCTCCCCAATCCACCAACCCACCTTTAGGTCTTAAGCATGCATGCAAAACAAATTAGTATAGAGCTCATCAGCTGTGTAAATAAAGTCGAGTTGGCAACGGTTTCCAACATATATTAAAAACAAAAAGAAAAGAAAAGAAAAAACTATAATATCCAGATTATGATATGGCCTGAAGCACAACTGAATATACGCATTTGGTGCTCCACTTTCAATACACGTCAGAGTGCTCCATATCCAATATTCCATACCGAATTCTAACTCCTCTAAATGTAATAGAGTTTGAAAAATTTCCGAAATTTGAAATTTTGTCAGGCTAGCCACGTATTTATGTATACATTACGATAGAATTCAATTTCAATTAGCATTTACTTATTTTTCATTTTAAATATTTAGTTTTTATTTAATAGTTAGTATTTGTATATTTGCTATATAAAATTCGGACAATTGAGCTAACAACTTTTTTTAAAAAGAGGGAAGTTCTCGGTTTGTTCGGTTTCGCGTTTTCTCGCTTATCGCACGTTTCCGCTGGCCGATGGAAGATGAAAGATGAAACGCGAGTAAGCACGTTTTTTGAACCGGTTTGGTGGCGAGGTCAACGTTTTGGCCATCGCTGCCCCGCGGGCAGTATCCAATGGCTAACAGAATTATTAACATAATTTATTTTTAAGCTATTGCAAAAGTTCGCCCTAAACACGAAAAAATTGTAAAAACAAAAAAAAAATGAAAATAAAAAACTTTGATGTCTTGTAGATTAAAGAACGTATAAAACAATAAATTACATTGGCCATGGCGACAAGATGGAACAATAAAACTTGAACATCAACAGACGCCGCTCTCTCTAGTCCTCAAAGGTAATGCGCCCTGGCCCATGGTTCTTCATATACCGTCTGTAGGCTTTGTAGCGTGGATTCTCGGCCAGTTTCTTTTTCATGTCTTCGTCCTGATCGGCCTTCCACGCGATAAAATTGTCGCGCTGCCACAGCTCCAGCTGCAGATACTCCTCGATCTGTTTGTCCTCTAGCGAATTGAATTGATGCTGACCCATGCCCATGTGACGACGTATCAAATAGAGCTGCTGCTCCCGACCGTACGGCTGTTTGAGCACCGTATAGCGCCAGAACCACAGCGAGTGCCACGCAATGAAGTTGAATAACGTGTACGGGCAGATGAGCAACTGCACCCATAGCACATCCCACAGCGTTGGCTTCGCATAGCCACCTTGCACGTCCATTTTCTCCTCAATAACCTTGCGTATGATCCGCTCGATTTCCTCCTTCTGCTCCGTTTTCGATAAGCTCTTGCGATTCTTGCCCTTGCGATTGTGCACTCGCTCCTGTATCTCATCTCGAGCTATGTCCAGCGCCTTGTTACGATACTTGGGCACCGTCGCAAAGTATTTGATGGCAGCATCATAGCGCTGCCAGCCAGAGTAGTACTGAATTACAGAGATGACGGTCAGCGTAACTACGATCACCACACGCACATCCACTTTGGGGGCCACACGTCGTCGATAGTAGCGATAATAATGCGCATAGTATGCGTCTGGGTTATCCAGCATGTAGTCGTAGTCGGTGCGGGACTCCTCGTCGCGCAGTATCTCATAGGCAGTGGCCACTAGCTTAAACTGCTCCTCTGCCAGCGCCTTGGCCTCCTCGCCACGATGCAGATCCGGATGATATTTGCGTGCCAGTAGCCGATAGGCCTTGCCGATCTCCGACTTTGAGGATTCGCGTGTGACGCCGAGCACATCGTAACAGTTCTCTTTACCGCAGTAGAGACCGTCAAGTAGGCCCAGGCACAACGTGGGCAAGATACTGACCAATAGGCAGGTGTAAATCCAACTTTGAGACTGTCTGTGTGGCATTTTGTACTTGTGTGCCTGGGTGTATGAGTTTGTGTGTGTGGCAAGCAACAGCTGTTGCTCCTTGCTCGGGTCTGACTTTTTGACAGCTCTGCAGAGTTGTGCCCTTATGAGTATGCTGGTTACTTTGCAACTGTAAAACCGAGTTCTTCGCTACGTTCTTTCTACGCTAGCGCGTTGGGGCTTTTGGCACTTTCACCTAAGTTTCTTAACGTTCTGAACAGTTTTTGTTGTTATCTAGAGTTGTATTGGTGTCCCAATGGAATCATATTGATTCCGCACTGCTTCACAGTGAACTAGTTCTTCTTTTGCACCGGCTAGCAAGTGGTTACTATTACTATTGCTTGTAATTGAATTATAGGGCCGAATCGGTATTGTAAAAATATATAAACGTACAAGTACTGCAAAAAATATATAATTTTTAGATTAATAATTGCGAAAAAACAAGAATTTTGTCTTCACATAAACTCATAAAGCAAAGCCTACAAGATTGGGATGGTAAGGACAATAGTGCATAATTATATATTTTAAAATAGTAATTTTTTTTAGTGTATATTGTGTTTCAGGGTCTGTCGCTTAAAAAATAGCGCGCAGATCTGATTGAGCGACGCTCTGGCTCAACTCCCAAAAGCGATTGATACGTTCCGATAACTAAATCCAAAACCCAATAATCGGCGTCCCGAAGATTAACAAGTGGGTTAACAGCAGTTGAATGAACGTAGTATTTGCTAATATATATACATGATGGAGTTTTTAAGTAGCCTTGAAGACGTAAAACAAACCATTATTGAAAATAGCAAATTTATTAAGTCATTGGAAAACTGTAAGTAAACAAATCTAATGAGGTTTCATACATATCTAGAATACAAAGCATTTGTTTTAAGGCTGTGATGACAGTTTCCGCGACAGTTTACAAAAATTGGTTGATGAAACAATGAAGGGCCGACTGGAGATCGGTGAACGTATAATTGCTTTGAAGACCAAGCAGAAACGCATAGATGATGCTTTGCAAAAGGCATTATCTGAAACTGATACAGTTGAACAGTTAAATGTAAAATGTACAGAATTTTTTGAAAAGGAAGACAAGAAACGAATTAACGTTAAACTATCGACCGAGTACAAAGAGTTTAAACAACAAATGAACTCCGCGTTTGGTGGATCGAATGTAACAAACGTTGATGATGAGGATGTGGCCGAAGTTATGGAGCCCGGTGGCAAGGTCGTCTCAATGTTTGATCCCTGGTCCAAGGCATTGATGTTGAATCCTGTGCGAAACATTAAATGCGGGCATCACTATGAAAGAGATTCTGTGAATGCCATTATAAAAGACAATTGTGGTATACGTTGCCCAGTAGTGGGATGCGCGAGTAAATGTTTTATACAGCCTAACCATCTGGAGCCTGACATGGCTTTGCGGGACAAAATAAGAGCGTACAAAGCTGAACAGGAATTATCTGATTCTTCATCAGAAGAAGAATAAGAAAGATTCATTTATTTATTTAGTTAAGTTGTTAAATATAAGAATATAAAAAACTAGAGCTTAGCTAATGTTAGTCATTCAATAATATTTGTTTTTAAAATGAATTTATTTCGATTGTCTTATCGCAACCGATAAGTCTCATGAGGTGTAATCGTTCATTTCATTCACTGCGCCTTGTGGCAACGCTGTGCACAGCTGTTTGGCCCAAAACAAATTGCAAATATTCGCAAAGTACTTTGTTAGAGACTCGAAAAGCAAATGCGCATGCAGCGTTTAAGTAATTGGGAGGCTGAACTACAGCAGCAGCACAAACGGCATCGCTTTGAGCTTTGACGAAACTAACTGCCTGGAAACAACGCTGGCAATGATGCCGATGCCCATGTCCGCATACGCATACGATGTGGCCAGCCGCACTCACACGATTGCTAAGACGACGCATTATTTATATAATTCTAGTACTGCTAGCTATTCTTTACATATTCGGCAACCTCTTTGATCAGGTAAGTCATACAACATGAATTACTATCAATAATTGATTCGTATCACTCTGGTGAATGCCCAACAGAAGGGAGCCTTTAGTGCGCTGCATTATGATGAGTATAAACCACAACGGACACGACCGCTACTATGGAAGCAACAACTGTTGCCTCCCGAAGAACATCTCAATCGCACGAAAGATCCGGACTTACGTTGTCGAAACTCGGTGCAGGGACGGAAGCTGCTGGCGGATGAGCGAGGCTTCGTATGCTTACGCGAGCAGATGCTTGTCAATGGCTGCTGTAACGTGGAGTTGGCCGGCATTAGCTATTATAGCTGCTACAGTTGCAATACCACATCGCACTGTTGCGGCGTCTATGAGTACTGTGTCTCCTGCTGCCTCCATCCGAACAAGCGATCCCTGCTGGAGCAAGTGCTGCAGGCGCAAGATACACAGAAATATATCTATGCCAGCGTTGTGGATCACTTTGAGCTGTGCCTGGTCAAGTGCCGCACCAACTCACATTCTGTCGAGCACGAGAACAAGTACCGCAATGAGGCAGCCAAATACTGCTATGGCACCACCGAAGCGCACGAGTCGCAGCGCGAGGTGGCACCCAGGGGTGGTCAGGGTTAGTCATAGGCTACAAAGATCGTTTGCAATATCTGTCAAGTTTCAGTAGAATGTTATAAGCATAAAGTTGCATTAATTAACTGTAAACGTTATGGACAATTTCTTCGATTGTCTAAATTAAGTGCAAATAGGTCAGATTAATTACATGATTAAGTGGCACTGCGACAATTAGTTTTTAGTAAAATTCGCCATGATGGGAGCAATATAAAGCAGGTTGAGGCGTCTGCAGACCGATTAATGCTCGATTTTTCATTTTTTTTTCTCAGGTTTATGACATAATTTATATCTTTAGTTGCCAAGTACAAGGAATCCGCACTTCAGTCTCGAAGTTATGAACAATTTTCTAGAATTTATATATATATATATATATAGTTAATATAGATATGGGCTAAGATAATTTTAAGTGCATAATACTGTACATACATATATACCTTTATTGTTTATATATACATTTAGATACAATTATTTTTTTGCTTTATTAAAAGTTATTTATTCAAATCAAATGCTGAGGAGGAGTTGCATAACTATTGTTTCCTGACCACCAATGGCTCCTGAAATACTTCGTTGTGGTTGATGCCATAATGAATGATGCCGTCGCGCACGTAACCCCAGGCCATGCGCGGTGTAGACCAACTAATGCCCATATCACCCTTGTGATCAATGATTATGGCGCCGCCTGTGCCACCGATGCGTTCAGTCATCCTTTTGCATTCCTGTTCACTGGCCGCTTGAGCAGTGAGTCCCTGCTGTTGTATGGCGCCCAATATGCGCTGTGCTAGATTGTATCGCATTATGGTCTCACCTTGGCCAGTACAGGAAACCCCGCCCACAGTATTATCAGCATAGTTGCCGCATCCAAGCAGCGGAGTGTCGCCAATGCGGCCCGGCCATTTGCCGGTGATGCCGCCAGTCGAGGTACCCGCCACAATAAGCCCGTTCGCATCCATGGCAACGGCTCCTACGGTATCGCCCCTTTGATCGGTGCGTACATCATCCATCCGGCTGCTCGCAAAGTTGTTTTCTAAGCCTTGAGCTTCTTGCTCCAAATACTCACGCAATGCCTCTCGAGCACTTTCCGTGACAAGGGCGCCAGCTGGCAGCTTTTCACTACCGGTGCTTAACGCCAACTCCTGGGCCGCCTGACCGCCCAGGAAGACATGACGTCGCTTCTCCATCAACCGGCGTGCCACCGTAATCGGATGCATAACATCTGTCAGCAGTGTAACACAGCCCGCACGCATCTCACGCCCCTCCATTAAGCTGGCATCCATTTCCACACAGCCGGCGGTGTTCAGACTGGAGCCGTAGCCCGCATTGAATGCGGCATTCTGCTCCATGGATCGCACAGCAGCCTCAACGGCATCAAGTGCACTGCCTGACGACTTGCCGTTCGCCGGCTCAAGATGCTCCCAAGCAGCTCGCAGCGCGGCCTTGATGCCCAGGAACTTGCCCTCAACGAGGTCGTCGCTAATGTCTCCCGCTCCGCCATGTATCAAGATTACTGGCTGTGGCATTTTGTTGCTTCCAACTCCTTTGTATGCTACTTCACGACTAAGTGCTTCACTCGCTACTGGCTGCTGCTTTAAAGCAGCGATCTGATTGTGTTCTAGGAATTACTCTTGTTGCAGACGCTTACTTATCCGGTCGAACCTTATCTTTATTGACGCATAACTCAAGTTACGGCATATATATTGCTACTGCTATTACAACAGCTCACGTTATCAGTTCAATCCAGATCTGCGTGTGTCATGGGAAGAGCTTCGTGTTCAGCTCGATCATTCTGATCACAGCAAAATATCTCGAATTTTTCATTTTCTTTGACTTAGTTCTCTTTGACTTTGTAAAGTTGACTTGAAGTCAAGTATTTGCTGATTAATCAGTTTCAACTCTCTAAGGCTATCAACAGTTAACTTCGGCTCTGCATTTATCGCTCTCGACGATGTTTCAGAAGCGGCCGATCAATCCAAGCCAAATGAAAAACTCTGTTAAGCCGACAGCCGAGAAGGAAAATGATTATTGAGTACACAAATAAAATTAAATATTTTTATTTTGATTTGCTCTGGCTAAGCAGGCACTTAGACTTAGATATGGGGTTAGTTGAGCATTGGGTAGCCATGGATTTTATGTTGCCCGCTTCCTGGACGGGAAATGGAAACAAACCGATCTGTCTGTCTGCCTTGCTGAACCGTAACTAACAGAAATAAAAAAAAATAAAAATATTTTTGAGGTCTGCTTCGAATAGAGAATTAATAATAGGCTCGTCTCATATAGATTGCGATGGAAGCAATTAAGTCCGTTAAGTCCGAATCGAAGGATTCATTTCAAGCGTCCGTCTCGGTGGGCACACAAACAGAGGATTTCAAAATACGTAGCCTAGACAATGTGCCGCAGCCACGGAAATTCGCCCGGCCCAAGACCACATATCAGCAGCAACAGAAATGGCCAGATATGACCTTGGAGGTGGCCAGCGAGACGGACAAGTGCACCACCAGGAATAAGGCATGCCAGACTGTTAAAACTGGAGTCAAGCGCTCATCGTCCGACTCCCAGATGGATAACTTGCGTGCTGTTATGTTCCAACGGCGCAAGATGTCCATCGACTTGGACCGCACACGTCTCGAAAAGCTGATGGAGACAATCAATGCGGATCCGCCACCGCCGTGGCATGAGGCCTCGCTAATGTGGCTAGAAGTAGACAAATTGGAGAATCGCATTGAGGAGTTCGATAAGTCGCAGTCGCCTGATTAGCTTAGGCATTTAGCCCTCATCTCATCCGATCCGCTCTAATTTTTAATTAATGTATTCATGTTTTATATGTATATTGGCATACATATATGGTGTGTTTACCGTCAAATGAATTTCAATCCGATTGAAGCTGCGATTGCAGCTCGCTTTTAATTGCCTTTCGAGTGATGCGGTCATTTTTCCATGTGGCTGAACTTTTTGCCTGACTATGACGAGCAAATGTCCTGTGCCATGGCCATGCGGCGGCTGCTGCTTAACACTGTTGACATGGTAAATGCAGCGAGGCGTGCACGCTCACACCCACACCCACGCCCACGCCCTGCATATGAGGTGAGGCGTGGCAGCGTGCTGCAGGTTTAAGGCTGCTCACTTGACTGTGTTTGACGAATTGTCCCGCTGCAGCGCGTTTGAAATAACCTCAAGGCCCAAAGCTTCCTGCCATGCTGCCGTCGAGCCCTCGGTGGGTGTATGCTGTTTGTGCCCGACTAGACTTTGGTCATTTGGCATTGCGTGCTGGGTTTCTTTGATGCATCCTGCTGTTTATTCAGAGCGCCAAACAGACTCGGGCCAATTGCATTTCAACACCCAACGACGACAGCTGCAACAGCCTGCATCTCTCGTCCCAATACTGTCGACCATAACAACTCGAATAGCCTCGTCAATGGCTGCTGACGCTAGCTTGCATGTACTTATATCCACTTGTGCATATATTTGCATTGCTCGGGGTGTCGGCATGGACTGCGCTTTTCAACAACAGCAACAGCAACAGCAACAGCAACAGCAACAATGAGCTGCATAAACACGACCCACACACACACGTATGTATATGCATACTTGCTTATGGCTCATTCATGAAGCGATGCTTCATTTGCAATGCGCTAAACTTTCGTTGCCGTTGCCATAGCCGTTGCCGTAGCCAAAGTCGAAGGCAATCTACATCAAACTACACATAAGCTGGGAATCCTGCACGTTTATGAACGGACATGCATGCAGCCGGGCAACGATGGTACATGGTACTTGGTACTTGGTACATGGTACAAGATACATAGTACATGTTGCATGGTGCATGGTACCTGCTTATGAGCCGTGTCATCGTGTGCAACAATTCGTACAGTTGTCCATCGTGATTAAGGCTATGTTTACCTATTTGGGTAACTGGGGCACGGGGAGCTTAAGGCCAACATCCATTGACTCAACTGACCTGGCCTGAAGCAGGGTATGCTCGAGCAGTGTTTAAGAGAATATGCGGCATATAAACTTTGCCGTACAGCATAATAAATTTGTGGAAATATTAAGCATATGTGTATCAGAAAGCTTAATCAAATAGCTGCGATTTAAATAATTGATAAAAACTATAATAATTAAAAAAAAAAGATCTAATCCGACTACTATAATTGATTCGCTTTAAAAGCTCTTCAGAGTGTTTTATTGTCGACTTGTTGCCGAAATAAATGTTACTCAACAAAACAGGCAAAAGTAAATTTTATGACTACGCCAAATTCAATTTTAATGGCATCCAAATTGTCAGTGCAAATGTTTGCTTAATTGCCATGAATTACGAAGAGACGCCATGAACAAAATTTTATTAATAATTCAAATTAATTTAGTTATATAGTATAAATATGAATTTTTTTTATGAATTTAAGAAATTGCATTTTGTACTAATTTGAATGCGATAGATAATTCAATTTCATTTAATTAATTTCATTAAAAAATTGAAATTTATCAAAAGAAAATATTGTGAACAAAAAAAATGATTTCGAACAAAGGAATTTGTAGAAGTTTTACAAGTCAAAGTCAAAGAAGCTTGACAAAAATGTTGTTGGTCTGAGAGACTGTTCATACTGCCTATGCCCTGCACCCATTGAAAATGGGAATTTGGAGTATGATAATTTTGTGAACGTGCATGTAACAGACAGTTGAAGACGGGGCAGGCATCTTAAAGTACATAAATTCTTAATCAAGGCAACTAGCCCTGCACCTGCATTTCCAATACTAAAGACTTGTGCTATGGCTAAGGCACACAGCTGACGTCATTGTCAATCTCAGCATATATCATTAGTAGAGTCCATTTACAACAAAAGTTATTCATCAGTTAGTTTTCCATAGCAGCAACGGCAGCCCAAGCAGGATATCTTCTAGTCTGGCAGTTCGGTCTACAGAGCTAAAGAATTATGAGAATTTGTTGTATGGCTGCTGCAGGCTCATTCAAAGGTTAACCACGAATGGGATTTGCTAAATTTGTTTTACAATTTGACAGCTAGAATAAAAAACTTAATTGAGAAGCATGGCTCTTGTGGCCCTTGTGGCTGTTAAAGACAAGTACCCACTCACAGGCACTCGTCTGTTTTTGCATGGAGCTCATTACGTTGATATTTGCATTTGCATTTTACAATAATCACATAATTTCGCAATTTATTGTTTATAACAAATTTATCTGTGGTTGTGGCTCGTTCACTCAACTCAAATTTAACTAAATGATGCGCACTGACAGCAAAATTGTGGCCACATTGCGTATACGTAATTCAGTGAATACTCATATAATTGGCGAGTATGCAGTTGTTTAAGTTAATATGTAATTAAGCTGCCATCAGGCGATGCTGCTTCACAATACATCTGTAAGCGTGTCAGCTATGGAGTAGACATTCCAATCAGTGAGCCAAGGATTGATTGAGTATATATTCAATTGCTTATAAGTTGTTTTATTTCTATTCAAATGTAGTTATTGGACCAACCCTCTTAAAGGCAAGCTTTAAAAGAAAATCGATTTCACTGAAACAACTTAGAGCTGCGAAGGTTGAGGGCACCTGCCCTCATCATTAACAGCATCGAAATTTGAATTTTTGCCAGGGCGACAAGGCGGGTGTGGGAGGTGAGTGGGGGAGGGGCCACGCCCAAGACAATGAATGCGTAAATCTGTCACAATTAATACCTTTAATCGGGCTCACGCGGCACGCGCGAAGTCAAAAGCAACTTCCTGATGGAGCTGCTGGGGCGCTGTTCGGTCGTGGGTACATCCGGAACCCCAGTTGCTCATTCACATACACCGCTGCCAGCTGATATAGGTGGGCGCTGCGCAAGAAGTTTTTCGCGCTCTTGTCAACATGCTGTTGCAATTGCCAAGTGAGTTGGGCGACCATTAAAGCCATGTTAATCGATTTTCTCTTGCTTAACATGCCATCAGAGCAATTCAAATCAAGCCAAGCCAAGCCATGCCGTGCCACGCCACCCACTCGCCGAGCTGTTGCTGCCAGTCACAAAGTAGAAAATAATCAGTGTGGCCCAAAGAGTTCTGTTTTCTATTCGAGTGTTTTGGCATTGAGTGTAAGGTAGCAACTACTCATGGGGCGATTGCGAGTCCCGCGGACAGCTATTCAAATGCCCATAATAGAGCAGCCAGCTCTCAAGAAATTAATCATTCGATTAAAGCTCATTAATGAGTGTTGGCAGCCATTAAGATGTATCGATGCGGAATACGCTCGAGTACAGCTCGAGCTCTACTTATGTACCAGCACAAACATGTGCATGGCCATACAAGCATATTCAGTATATGCGAGTATATAAGCATTTAAAGAGTGACTCACTTCGACAATTAGTTGTTTGTTAAGATACAGAAGAGAGAGAGAGAGAGGGAGAGGGAGATGGAGATGAAGAGGGAGAGGGGGGTGTGGAGAGGGAGAGGAGGTATGAGAAGTCTAGTTGGCTTGTTTGTTTAGTCTGGGAAAAAAGACTGTGCAATATACAACTGTATATATTCTTAATTCGTACGCTTCTATGCGATTCTCATGGATTCAAATTTCTCTTTTGCATGGGCTTTTTAATAATACTTTAATTAATTTAATTTAATTTTAATTTGTTTAGCATATATTTTCCCTTGTTTATTCATTCTCTCTTCTCTCTATCTCTTTCTTTCTCTTTCGCTTTCTATTTCTCTCTTTCTATTTATTTCTCACTCTCCCTTTCCCCCTCTTTGTGTCTCTCTCTATAAATTTTTCTATCTATTTTTTGTCTCCCTCATTCTTTTTCTATCTCTCTCTGTAATTTCATTCTCTCTCTCTCTCTTTTCCTTTCTTTCCCTCTCTCTTGCTTTCTCTCTATCTCTCTCTCTCTCTCTCTCTCTCTCTCTCTCTCGTTCTCTCCCACCCTCCATCTTTATCTCTCTCTCTTCCTCTCTCTCATATCTTTAATTCATCCACCTCCCGCCCCTACGCTAAGCTATTGCCAAGTGTTTCTTAAATTACAAAATGTCTGCTAAAATAATTGCACCCATAAATGAGAATTTTGGTTAATTATGTTTACATATTTTAAGCTTTTAGGGTAGCAAAAGTTCTTGTTTTCAAGTACCACTGTACCGTCGTGTGCGCACAAAACACAATTTTTAACTGTTCTCATATTTGAAGTCATTTCTTCAAATGCTTCGTCAAGCTGTTTATTTGATTTAACGGAAAGTCAACTCTAACCCCGAGCGTCTCTGTGTGTGTGTGTGTGTGCGTCTTATGCTACACGTACGCACATTCTGCAACTGCACTAAATTACGCAAACTCTCTCCATACAACTCCTTCAGCCTGAATCCTGCGACCCCATGGCAACTGTTTAAAGTGTTTTAGTATTACTGTTGGCGTTGCTAAGCCAAAAACTAACTTACACCTAACTAAATGACAAAGTTTTGCGACTCACGGCTGCACAGGCACACACACGCACACTCACACAAACAAAAAAACATGTATAAAGTTGGCGAGCGGAGAGGCAAGTGTGCCTGGCGGTAATTTAAGGCAAACATTTCTTTCTATGCATAGGTGAGCGTGCACTCTGTGTGTGGGTGTGTGTGTGGGGGTGTGCTGGTTGGTTGGTGGTATAAATGTGTGTTACCACATGGACGCCAAAAGGCACGCGCTGCAAATACACACACTTGCTGACACACACACACACACACACACACAAAGTTGGTTAAAGAAAAAAACACTCACCCACACACACATATGGCTAGCGGTATGCTGCGTACTTTTTTTGTACTCTATGTGGAGCAGAGTTTGTGTGGCGTATTTAGCTTTGGCATACATGATCCGTTTTAAACAATAAATAATATATTAATGTAATTATGCATGTTCACAGATAGCTGAAAAAAAAAAAACAAAAAACAATAAATGTATTTTTGATTCAGTTTGTTGTTTCGACTCATGTAAAACGCTTCAATGGAGCAACTACATCCGTGCTATGTTTGGCCGTGCCTAATTAGATTATACATTATTCATAGTTACAACCAGTTTAGGCTTTAGGGCAACTGGTTGATATGGATAAGGATTTGAGTGAATGATGGAGCTCTGCTAATTGAAAAGGAGTCATTGATTCAGCTCTTTACATGCTCCGTAAGCATGGAGGCTATCTATAGCATATCGTATCTGGCCTACAGCTACACACGATCTACCATTGTACAGGGTACTTAAAGTCGAGTTTTGTGCACTGCGCACATTCCTAACGGTTTGTTTTTTATATTTTGCGTGTTGGCTACTACTTTTGCCACTACTTTAACCACATAAGCGAATGTGAATGCGACTGCGAGTGCGAGTGTAGGTGTGTGTGTGTGTGTGTGAGATTCTGCTGGCCGTGAACGTGTCGTGCGTTTGCCAGTTACCGTTACAGTTAGCGCGGCTGCTGCCCCCTGCTGGTGGCAGCATGTTGGACATAGCCGCCTTTTTTTCCCTTCTTGTTGTATCTTGTTATTGCAATTGTTGTTGCTGCCGCTGCTGTTGCTGCTGTAGTTTTGTTTTGGTTTTTGTTGCCAACTGACACAGGTCGCCCCTCTGCGGCCCGCCCACATTCAGTTGTAACTGGCATTTTACACATTTACAAGTTGGCACTTTATATTGCATAATATTACCACGTACATGCGCCACCTTTACTTTTTTACGAGTCACACCTGAGTGGCTGCGTGTGCAAAGTAATTCAATAATTACGCTCTTGACATCATATTCGTATTACTTTTTTGTCACATGTGCGCAATATGAGTGCGTGTGTGTGTGAGGAGCAGGTGCTTGCGTGTGTGCCTTGACGAGTGGCTGGAGAGTTGTGGCTTAAAAAGTCACACGCCGCTTAACAATTAACCCACTTTGCCACGCCCACTCGCACGTGACATTGCGGAAGATGGCGGAGAAGAAAGGAGGATTAAAGAGAAGAAGAGGAAGACGCTTCCGCGTTCTGTTTTTTTGACATTCGCATTTAAGCGCAAATATTTTCCTTTTCGCTGACGTATGAATCTCTATATCTATATCTATATTTATATCTATATCTATATCTATATCTATATCTATTTCTATATCTATATCTATATCTATATCTATATCTATATCTATATCTATATCTATATCTATATCTATATCTATATCTATATCTATATCTATATCTATATCTATATCTATATCTATATCTATATCTATATCTATATCTATATCTATATCTATATCTATATCTATATCTATATCTATATCTATATCTATATCTATATCTATATCTATATCTATATCTTATCTATATCTATATCTATATCTATATCTATATCTATATCTATATCTATTCTATATCTATATCTATATCTATATCTATATCTATATCTATATCTATATCTATATCTATATCTATATCTATATCTATATCTATATCTATATCTATATCTATATCTATATCTATATCTATATCTATATCTATATCTATATCTATATCTATATCTATATCTATATCTATATCTATATCTATATCTATATCTATATCTATATCTATATCTATATCTATATCTATATCTATATCTATATCTATATCTATATCTATATCTATATCTATATCTATATCTATATCTATATCTATATCTATATCTATATCTATATCTATATCTATATCTATATCTATATCTATATCTATATCTATATCTATCTATATCTATATCTATATCTATATCTATATCTATATCTATTCTATATCTATATCTATATCTATATCTATATCTATATCTATATCTATATCTATATCTATATCTATATCTATATCTATATCTATATCTATATCTATATCTATATCTATATCTATATCTATATCTATATCTATATCTATATCTATATCTATATATATATATCTATATCTATATCTATATCTATATCTATATCTATATCTATATCTTTATCTATATCTATATCTATATCTATATCTATATCTATATCTATATCTATATCTATCTATATATCTATATCTATATCTATATCTATATCTATATCTATATCTATTTCTATATCTATATCTATATCTATATCTATATCTATATCTATATCTATATCTATATCTATATCTATATCTATATCTATATCTATATCTATATCTATATCTATATCTATATCTATATCTATATCTATATCTATATCTATATCTATATCTATATCTATATCTTTATCTATATCTCACCTTAAAATCTATCTAACCTCATCTTCGAGTAGTCGGGAACTCGTATCTCCGATGCGAGCATAAATACCACCAACAAATTTTCAATTACTTGTTTGGGATAATATTTTCGGAAAATGCAATTTGTCCGACTAACTTTATTCATTCATTTTGAGCTGAAGTTGGCGAAAAAACACGCACACACACACACATAAACACGAACACACAAGCTCGCTCACATACACACACACACACACACTTGTTCTAAGCAAACAGCAGCAATGAATGCGCTTTCATGTCCCATTTTTATATATTTATATATAAAGATATATATATATATATATATATATATATATATATATATATATATATATATATGTGAGTATGTGGGTGTGTGTGGCTTATGTATTTGAGTGTGTGAAACGCGCGTGTTTGCTTGTGTTTGTAGTTTCGTTTCAAAAAACAAAACTTTTGCAAAGCGATGCGAACGCATATCGTGGACTCTCCGGCAAATGTTTGCCAAACTGCCTGTTACCCTGTAACAAAAGAATTGTTTAGCAATGACCCGAAATAAGATCTGCAAGCAACATTAAATACGCATATTTTAGAAATTAGACTCCATTATTGTAACTAAAATTGTTTTGCCAATTCACAAAATGCCTAATTAAAAGCGAAAAAGTTGTCTCTCTGTGTAGCACACATAATGCCGTTTGCCGTTCGCTGTGTATGTGTGTGTGGGTGGGTGGCTTTGTGGTGCAGTGTGGTATTACACACTCACCTGCGATGTCGCCCTCATCATCCGCGTGGCATCTTCTCTTTGACGCTTTGCACGTGTTTTTCTCCCGGTTGAAATTGTAAAAGTTTTGCCGAATTTTTTACTTTTTGTTTTATTTTTTGTTGTTGCTGTTTTTTTTTTGTTTGTTTGTTTGTTACCCGCCGACCTTTGGGCGCTGCCTTCGGTGCCGTCGCGTCTAATTTCGGTTTTAAATACATGGTCATAGTTGTAGTTGATTTCGCTGGCAAAATTTGGGATTGCGGATCTCTCGCTACTCGGCTGAGTAATGAACGCAGTTTCGCCGTGAGGCGACAGCGGAGCACGAAGTATCGATAGCTCCAATCACATTTCAATAAATATCTTTTGTTTAAAAAAAAATTGTGTATTTATTAATACAGAGAATATATATATTAAAACTAAGAACAATTTGTTACAATTTTGCTTACAGTCTACAAAAGTTGTCGAAATCAGGTAAAGAAATGAGGATAAAAAAAAAAGCAGAAGGAAATAAAAGAATTGCTCATTATTGCATCATCGTGACGTGCATTTGTGCACGAAATTAATGAGAGTTTGGAACAGATAATGAACATGTGGACTATATAGAAATAGTGGGAATAGATAGCTGGCGGAGAAGGCATCATCTTAGAGAAATGCGCTGACAAAAGGCTCTACTTTCTTTGCTCAGCCTCATCTTCTTCTGCCGGTTCGTTTTTGTTGACGGGGAAGTTGTAGTTGTCACGCCCCGAGATGCCCGTACCGCCGGCATCGCCTAGCCAGGGATAAACGTTGGGGCACTCGCGGCACGTCTCCATGTAGCGAGTATCTGTCAGATTCTGTTCGGGTATCTTGAAGGGCAACGCGCAAGTTTGCCAAATGTTGCACGGCTTGGACGCAACGGCGACGCTCTTGTCACACTTCCACGACTCGATCTGGTTGACATCGCGTAGCTCCTTGGGCTCGGTCATATATTGCAGCATCTGGGTGACGGTCAGGATGTAGACGTCGGGTCTGTAAGTTGCCAGAAAGAGAAATTATCAAGTTTTCGATAGCGATAACTTCAAGATAAGAATGCAGATGTTTCTGCGATAATTGTATGGATATGTGTTATCGATTGAAGTTTCTCGAAAAAATTATTGAGATTTTTTTTCGGTATTGGTTATCGATTAATCGTTTTTCGATTACCTTTTTGATAGTTGTGCGATAACTGTTATCGATTAATAGTTTTTCGATTATAGTTTAGATAGTGGTGCGATAACTGTTATCGATTACTAGTTTTTCAATTTCACATTAAATATTTGACCGATAACTGAACAGTCAGCGGTTGTCGATCGACATTTTATCGATTAATTGCAGATGTTTTTCGATAAATTCACTGTTATTAGATAATTATGATCGATAAATGTTCGACCAAACAGAAGTAAGTGCAGTTTGGTCTTATTGACATCAATTGCGATTCTTTCGATAACTCGGCCACTAATCGGTAGTAAGTACAATTGCCTATCATTAGCATAGTTGAGCCTTTGTGGGTGCAAATAACATGAAATTGCTACGAATAGTTTGTAGAGCAACCTAAAACTTCTCTAACTTGGAATTGCCCGCACAATGCTCAGTTTCACACTCGCACTAAATTGCCTTTCGCAGGTGTCGAACAATTGGACGATGGCAAAAGAAAATGGTACGGATTTCTACTGGTGCATAGTCAAACGTTTTCCACTCTCGCTCACGCCTCACGCTTTGGGCTTCTGTTTGGCAGCTCGGCAGGCGGCGTTTCATCATTCTAACACGCATTTTCAAGCATTTCATGCAAACAGTTTAACGCCTGGGCCAGGCCAGGCTGCTTCCGGTGCCGTGCCTGTTCCTGCTTCTGCTACTGCTCGTGCTCATGCTCTGGCTTTCTGCCACATTCACAGCTGGGAGCTCAATGTTGAAAGTCATTCACACTAATTAAAAACTTCGTACAATTGTGCGAGAAATAGTTTTGCAGCAGCTGCTATTCAGTTTGGCTTTAGCTCAACCCGCTCAGCTGCGCCTCAGACCCGTTTCAGTCTTCAATCTTATTTAGCAATTGGCTCACACCTACGTCGAGACACCTGCACATGGTCCGAAGTGTGATCATAATAGCAGCGAACTGCATACGACCAACTTCGCTTTCAGTTTCACAACATGCAGATGAGTTATTGAGAGAGTTAAACGAATGTGGGTGCGAAAGAGTTCGAACCAACCAACCAGCCACCCACCTGCCTGCCTGCCTGCAACATAATGCAATGTTGCCCCTCTACAAATCCCATTCCAAACTATATTCCAGTTGCAACTTTAATTTACTCCAAAAGCATGTTGCCAGCTTTAGTTGAATTTGGCTTTGTTTGCTCTCTAGTAAAAGCGATTAGCTAAGTTGCCTCAACCTAAGTTGAGTTCATAAACAACTTAAGATTAAGTTTTTATGAAGTAATAGTTAAATGAAACTGATGAATTCAACACTTGGCTAGAAACTTTAGGCCTACATGACACTAAATTGTTTTCGACTGCTTGGTGTGAGCTTTGAACTTGGCCCAAGATTTGCTGGAAGCGTTTGGCTTATAGAGGAGAACAGGTATATCATCTCTAAAACTTACGGATCGTTTTGCCACAGCCCAAAACTGGAAATTGAAAGCAGGCTCAAAGCATGACTCTGGCCAAGTTTGGAACTTACAAACTTGGCTAATAACTCTCATTATCTGGCATGTCGCTTGCTCTCCGCTCATATATCCCATTGTGGTATGTGAAAAGCATTTGCTTGGCTCAATTAGGTTTGAAATTATGAGAGCTTGTATTTTGATTTCATTAAAAATGACATAAAAAATAATGCTGATATAAAATGGGAATTATAATGGTGCACGCTTGATGGCCGCTGGTCCCATGGGTGGTTGGGCCTCGCTCAGTGGCGCATGTAGCATTTGTAGCCAGCCAACCCGATGCCAACCAGATACCCATCTAAATGCGTGGGGCAATGCTGACAAAGTGCGATGCTATCAGCACATAACTTCATTATGGAAGTTTTGTGCCCCTGCCGCCAGTATATATAGTATATGCTGTTGGCACTTTGATGCCGCATCCACTCATCAGGCACCCGTCCACCCACTACAACCTGAACCGCCCAATGCGGCCACGCTTCGGCCATGTAACACTGTGTGTCTCTGTGCCAGCGCTCATGTTGTTTTTGTGCGTTTTAACATGGCTTTTAGTTAGCAACGGTCCAGGCGCTTTGCTCCGCTCTGCCTGCTTATTGTTTTCTTTGCCAGCTCCTCCTAGTGCCCTAGCCCTGAGTCCTAAGAGCTCAGAGCTCGATCTGCCGCTGCTGATGCTGCTGCTGCTGCTGCTGCTGTTGTGCCTGCGCAGATATTTTTCAAAATGAAAGTTTAACAAAATTAAACTTTTCTCATTAAAACGTGCGATTTTTTTTTGATGCTTTTGCTGCTGCTGCTGCTGCTCTTCTTTTTGCTCTGACCACAACGTCGCCATTGTTGGACATTGGCTGAGATTCGGGAGACCGTCGAGAGCTGTGCATATGGTTGACTGACTGCCTGCCTGCCGGAGTGATGTGGAGCGAGTGCGGCATCAACCTGTTCCAGATAGACGCGACCGCTGTCCGTGTCGGGCCATCAATGTGGCCACCAACATGTGCCCTCCATTGGACGCCCCGGACTAGCAGCATATGCCGCTTGTTCAAGCAATTTTTATAGCGATTGCCAATATTGTTGTTGCCGTTGTTGTTGTTGGCAATGGTGGTGGCGGTGGGGCTGTTGCTGTTGCTTTTGCGTTTTCCATCTACTCGTTTTGTTTCGCTTCTCTCCTTATTTTCTCGCTTTTCTCGTTTTTTATTTTTTTTGCTGCTTTTTTTAATTGAATATAAAACTTGCCAGCGGCAATCGGAAGCTCTCACTGCAGGAAACGCCAGCTGCCCATGTGTGTGTGTGTGTGTATGTATGTGGGTGGGAGAGCGTGTGTGAGTGGGCGTAGGTGCCTGGCAAAGTTGGCTTTCAATTAAGAAAACACCAACAACAAAAAGCCAGAGCTGAGAAATACATTTATGAAAAATTAAAAGCCTCGTGCGTAGATAACAAAATCGCACACGAGCCTGCCCCATCGCCTGCGTCTGCCCCAATAAAAGTTCGGCACTTTAAAGCTACCCAAATCGAAAGAGGAAGCAATAGCTAAGAAACTTCCAGAGCCAGTTGAGCAAGACTCACAGCTAACCATATTCAATTCAATTTCAAAATAATATATATAGAGAGAGAGAGTTTCGGTCTGTACTTACAGCTCGAGCGCCCAGTCTAAGAATTTGTGTAGTCCATTTTCCAGCGGCTTGGTCTGGAACCAATTGGTATGGAAGGGCATCATGTATGGCGCCTTGTTCTGTTCGTAGTAGCGCGAAAAGTCCTCCTGCAGCCAGTCGAACACCTCGTTCTCGTCCAGATTGTGCAGTACACACTGATCCATATAGGGACAGTGGCCGCCCTCGAAGCCCTCCACATAATGCGTATTCAGTGGCACCTCCCAGACGCCTGGGAAAGTGCGCGAGGGGCAGGTGCCGCTCTTGCACTCGTGCGAGATCTTATAGTCCAGCGTGTAGGGCCAGACGGGCACTGGCACTGGCGGCACAGTTATCGAGCTGTCGTAGATGTAGCCGAAGTCTTCCAGCACCTGTTAACAACATTTTCAATTACGCTCGCAAGCTATTTGTGATGTGGATTTGTATCTTAAATGCGCCTGCTTAATAATATAATATAAAGCGCGCTTTATGCTCGCTTATCTTGATTATTTCATTCAGGCCACAAGCGCGACAATGTCGCCATTATCCATACATCATCATCGTTGGGTTTGCTACACCCACATGACATGCTAAATGATATTAGCGAGCTCTTGACACTGTCACGCCCTACCCCATCAGGTGCTTGTCAGAGGCATTTTAGCCCATTATGTTAACATTGTGATCTGATATTGATATGATTTAAAATACAACTAGATTTGGCCACCCCAACAACGCTCGGCTCTTCCTGCTGATGATGATGATGGCAATAATGCTGTTTGGGGTGCCTGTGTGAGCCGATGTATTATCGTCGTCTCTGTTATGACATTGATGTGTCTTGTCGTCGTGTCAAGTGTCAACTGTGTGTGTGTGTGTGTGTGGTTGTTGCTGTTGCTGTTAATTATGCTGTCACTGCATGACCATGTCCTGCATAGCTCGTTGGCGCTTTTTAACAATATTTAAAATGAAGCTAAATATGATTTAAGCCTGAAGCCTATTTCCCATGCATTTCCCTTTTCTATTAGCTCATTCAAGACAATATGCGCTTCATAAAACTCGAACAGCTCTCGTCTAGTGGTGCTTTTCAGATTCCTAATGCTAGAAGTACATCTGATAATTGCCAATCAATTATGTGCATTTGAGCTGTGGTTGCTTGCAAAATGTATTAGGCAGCTCGCATCTGAGTGTGTGTGTGTACTGCGAGCTCTCACCTTGTATTGGGTATTGCGTCCAGGCTTGAGGAACGGAGCACGCATGCCAACCACATCGTTCACGGACACATTCGCAAAATGACGTAGAATTTCACGCATGCCAATCATTTCGCCGACCCACTCCTCGTAGCCCTTGTCCTGGAGCCCCAGCTGCTGTGAGACGCTCTCGGTTGCAATTTCGTGACCGGCAAAGCCCAGATGCTGGATCTGTTGATAGTTGCTGCAAAACAAATAGACAGCAGATATGTGAATGGCAATTAAGTGATGTGATGTTCCTGTGCGATAGCAAAAGAAGGCAAACAATTAAATCAAATAGACCCCATGGCCGCAGCACTTAATGAAGGGTCAATGGCCAATGACCGTGTACTCAATCAATATTATCAGCATGTACTCACACATGTATACAAGCACACACACACGCGTTTATATTCCAGAAAAATACAATTCAATTTCAATTTCTTTTCTTTTTCACTTGTTAACAGGTTTCTAGAAGCTTATTTAAATTCCCTTAAACTGGAAACACTTGGCTGCACCAGGTTTAAAATACTTCAAATTGATGGCAAATGCATTTAGAGAAAATCTGCCTGCCTAATATATATATATATATTATTTTATGTTATATATACATATATATATATATATCTTTCAGTTCATTGAAGTTCATAAATTTAATTTAGTTTCTCTATAGCCATTCTATTTGATATCTGAGTTATTTGGCTTCATTTGAGTTTCTGAGTCAACTTCAAATTCCACATTTCATTTAGCTTTCAGTTGAGTACGGGATATCTAGCAGTTTGTTGTTTGGCTTGGCCATGCGCAACATTTTGGAATTACACACAAAATGTTAATAAAAAAATGCTCACACTTGATGAACAAACACAAAGTCGTCGACTGGCTGTGTATTGGAAGGGGCTGACTCGTTCGTACCTGGATAGCTGTTGGCCAGGTGCTGCAAAACTTGCTACAATGGGCTGCAAGCAGTTTTTTGAATTTCAAAGCCGTCCGACGGCCGTGTGGCTGTGCGGCTGCCACACACTTCAGCTCTTGCCAATTAGAACAAATTTTACAATTGTAGCGCCCAAACAAAGCACAAAGCGTCGAAAGCAACAGAAAAAACTGCACAAACAAACAAACAAAAAGGGAGCAGCTCGAGCATTCCCCAGCAAAGCAACACCGAATTTCATGCTTCTTTCACAGCCAGTGAACATTTTCAATTCATGTCAACAGCAAAATGTAGTATACGGACAAAGAAACCAATTGACCCTCGCAAATACTGCTATTTGAACGTTACTACTACCGAAGGACAACTGAAGAAACGTCTACTACTAGTTCTACTTCTGCTACAATTATTAGTTCTTCAAGTTCTACTACCAAGGCTATGCACATAAATGCTACTACTATTTCGTTAAATGTTAGTATTGTTAATAATAGTACTAAATTATACTACTACTTCTGAAAATTATGTTACTAATTCTATTAATTCTACGACTATGACTACGCCTACTCCAACTACTATTACGAACACTTCTATTACTACTACTATTGCTACTACTATTGCTACTACTATTGCTACTACTATTGCTACTACTATTGCTACTACTATTGCTACTACTATTGCTACTACTATTACTATTATTGTTGCTACTACTATTACTACTACTATTACTACTACTATTACTACTACTATTATTACTACTATGCTTACTACTATTACTACCACTATTACTACTACTATTGCTACTACAATTGCTACTATTATTGCTACTACTATTACTGCGACTATTGCTACTACTATTACTATTACTATTACTCATACTATTTCTACTACTATTACTACTACTATTATTACTACTATTACTACTACTATTACTACTGCTATTACTACTAATATTTCTACTACTATTCCTATTATTATTATTATTATTACTACTATTACTACTACAATTACTATTAATATTTCTACTGCTATTCCTACTACTATTATTACTACTATGCTTACTACTTTTGCTACAACTATCTATCTATCTAAATTACTACTATTCTGCAACTGATAATGAAGGCGCTCGTCGAACTGTTCAAGAATGTGCTATGCACTGCGCTTTCAAAGGGTATTTCGGCAAACAACAACTTAGACAGTGAAAAGTTGAGACAGAAACTATGCATGCAGCAACGTAAAATGCGTCAGTTCTATGGAGCACAAGCAACAAATATAATTGTGCATATGTGTGCGGATGTGTGTGGATGTGTGTGAGTGAAATAAATTTCTTAACGGGGCGGGGCAGTAGGCAGGCAAGAAATTTACTGTGCGCAAATAGTTTTTGGATAAAAGTAAAGCACAAAAAAATAAAAAAAAAAAACAAAAAATGTAAATAAAATTATGAATGTTTTTTGTGAGTCGCTCTTTGTTAGCTTGTTTCGCATGCAGCGATAAAACAAGAAAGGGAATTACGAATTTATACACATATATGTGTGTGTATTTAACAACGAATGTATATGCAGAATAAAAAAATTGCATGTATATTTATTAAACATTTCACGCAGACGGCAGCGGGCGAGTGCCTGCGTGCGTGTGTGGGTGTGTGTGTGGGGGGGCGTCGACAATGCTGGGCCAAACTACTATCTGACATCGTCAAAAAGTTCATGCAAAAATGTGGAAATGTGAAAAGTTGTTGAAAAGCATGGGCACAGACACACACGGAGAGAGAGAGAGAGAGAGTGAAACACTTGAATGGGCGGCGGCAGGCAGCTTGGTTGGTGTTGACAATAAGCGCTGCACATGTGTGTGAGGTAGATTTATTGCATGACATTTCAATTGTTAGACAAACAGCTGGACGAGAACTGAGCTGGGCTATAACTACAACCAGAAGCTGCACTTGTAGTCAAGGCCGAAAGACGCTGGCAAAATAAAACAGTCAACAGACGCTGTGGCAAGTGCAGTCGAGGCGGGGCAGTGCCCCAAATCTTCTATTTCTTTTACTGTTGCGTAGGCGTGACATGCCAACGTAGGTGAGAGAGGCACGAGATGTTAGCAGCAATTAACACTGTGAAGGAGGAAACACACACACATAGGGTAAAAGATGCAAAGCAAGTGCTCAAAATAACTGACATGGAAATGGTAGCAACATACACCCACGCCCACACACACACACACACACATGCATTGTGACATTTGATGAATTTCCTTTTGGCCTTGTCGCGAGTGTCAGGAGACAAATGCAGTTTGCGTCGGGCAACTGTGGCCTGGCCTCGGCACTGGCCCTCGTTCCTGTGACCATTGTTTATGACAATGCTCATACGCAACGTTGCACCGGACAAAATGCCAAACGAGTCACGCCCAGTCGCTTGACTGTGCCAGCGTGTGCGTGTGTGCGAATGGCTTTTTATTGCCCCAGCCCATTTGCAGTGGCTTTTAGTTTTCTCGTTTGCCTTTATTTTTGTTCATTTTCTTCGTCTCTTCTGCTTTTTTAAATTTGGTACGCCAGTCAACTCATTTTTCTTTAATAGCCCATACAACAGCACACACACACTTTCTTTTGTGCATATACATATGTGTGTACGTGTGTGTGTGTGTCTGTGTGTGTTGAGTGGTTTGGCCTCTGCTCTGCTGCGGCTGCTGACAAGTTCAATTTGCATTTAAAAAGGGAGAAACACATGTAATCTCAACGATTAGAAATTGTTAGCATTGAGCAGCACAAGCACGCACCCACACACACACACACACCAGCACACACACACCCACACACATGTCTGAGCATATATGCACATAGATATAGTGAATAAATGAATAACGTTTGTGCACCAAAATGTTTTTGCCACCAGCTGCTTGCGGGTGGAGCGAAAAATCTTTTCAATTTTTGGCTCATGTAAAGTAAATATTATTTTAAATATAAGATTAAAATTAGCATTATTTAGACATTATTTAGAGAAAATGATTTTTAAATAATTCGAATAAATTATTTAAAAATCGTTTTCTCTAGCAAACAGAAAAACTGAACTTGTTTGCAGTTGACATAAATTAAGTGAAATCTAAGTATTATTTTAGTAATCATATTTCATCGTATATAAAATAATAGTTTATAAAAGTATACGCATATGCATGTGTCTTGAGCTGAATACTATTTTGGTTTTGATCTGATGTAGACTAAACACTTTGGTCATATGATTCATGTCCCAAAGCTTAAACATAGCTCAGCTTGTGCTTGCTTTTATAATTATTTCTATTTATGTTTAAAAAAAAAGAATTTTTTATTTATTTAAAATTCTTTAAAAACAAATAAAATTTAATTTTCAGATAAACATAAGAGTTTTGATAGCAGTAGGAATAACTTATGACTGATGACAGTCTGAATATCAAAGAATTATGGAGTTGGGCTCAAAGTTTTCACAGAAGAAGAAGCTGTGAGGCAAAGAGTCAGATTTTAGCTTATAGCAATTTTTACATATGACAGAGTCGACGTCTCTATGTGAGCTAACTTCAATTTTTCTAACCTGCTCCAGCATTAATGGCGCTAACTCTATGAGCAACCCCCGCCAGCGACTCGCTGGCTGCATTCTATTTGCGTGTTTCCACACACACACACACACGCACACACACACACATGCATATTTTTCTTCAATTTGTGCCTGGTAGTTGGCAGCTTAGTGCGGCTCAGCCCTGGGCCCAAAATGTGTGCAATGACCGCATGCAGCAATTTCTTTTAATGTGCTTTTAAAAGCCAAATCTACAGGTTCCATGAAGCTCGTTGTTGCTGTTGCTGTTGCTGCTGCTGTTGCCGTTGCTGTTGCTGTTGCTGCAGTCCATCCAAGAACCACCTGCCCCCATCCACCATGCACCTAAACGCCCACCCACACTGGACACATTTTTCGTAGCAATGAGCTTTTGTTTTTATTATGCCTTGCACCAAAAACTAACTTAATTTGCATGCAGCATATTGTGCGTGCAGCAGTGTGTGTGTGTGTGTGGGTGTGTGTGTGTGTGTGTGTGTTTGTACTGCAATGGCTGTGTGCCTAACGAGTTTGTTTCAGCTTGCAGCAGGCATAAAAATATATGAACAAAAAACAAGGAAAAACGCAGAAGGAGCCCGAGAATCAGAAACGCCCTTCAAAACAACAAGCAGCTGTAAGCTTAAGTCTCTCGTTTTCAATAAAGCTCTTCGACCGAGCCGAGCCGAGCCGCACACGCATAAGCAATAAGCGAAACAAAAAAAACAGAAAAAGAAA